CTACTATCAAAGTCCCATGGATAACTAATGAATTTGGTACTTAGCCTTCCTGTTAGTTTTAGTTTAACTTACCTGTACATACTGTATAGTTTAATGTTGTCTTGTGTGTATTTTAATTTATATAAAGAGTACAAAGGATTCATATTGTTCTGCATCTTGCCTTTATCAGTAACATTGTTTTTTAAATCTATCCATGTTGATGTGTATATAAGAGCTAGTTTATTCCTTTTAATTTAAGCTGCATAGTATTTCACCCTATGAACTTTTATAACACGTTTTATATGTTCATTCCTCTAGGGACAGTCATTTAGGTCTCTTTCTTTCTTTCTTTCCTTTTTTAATTACAAACCACCATTCTCTGATTTAAAAAAAAAGTCTTTGTCTGTGTCTCTTCAGGCATCTATGCACAAATTTCTCTAGGAAATTTACCCAGAAGTCAAATGTGTTTTATTGTTAGTCATTGAGCAGAAGTAGGCATACCTGAGATCCACACCCCTTTGGTGCTTACTTCCTGTATGACCATGGGCGAGTCATTTCACCTCTTTAAATCTATTGTGTGTGTGTGGGGGGGGGGGTGTACCTGTAAAATAGGTGTGTGATATTCCCTAACTAACTGGGTTATGAGAGAATTTAGTGAGACTATTTCTATAAAGCACCTGAAATTCTGCAAATGGTAGGAGTCCAGTAGCCCTTATCATTCATGTTACAGGTTTTCCTAGCAACCAAAGTAGGACCTAAAGTCAATGCCCAACCCTTTGCAAAAGGGACCCTGGGCCCAGCAAAGCAATGCCTTGGGGACTTGCCCAGCCCACCTCTTACCGGATGGTATCAACTCTTTCACCTGCTTAGCCTGGCGTCAGCTCAGCAAACGTACCCCTCTGCATCTCAGTTTCCTCGCCTGTAAGGTGGGAAAACTGCACCTACTTTGAATGGCTGTAGTGAGGTTGAAATGCTAGATAATGTGTGCAGGGCACTTGTTAAAACTGTCTGCCCTTCCTGCTCACCCTTTCTCCTTCGAAGCTGTGAAATCATCTGAGGCTCTTCGGCAGAGTAAAGCTGAACTACGTCCCTAATTTGATTTTGGTTTCACAGCCCCTGCATTTTATGATGCAGATACTTTGAGTAAACGGGTAACTATGCGCAGAGGCTTTGGGAGGTCCCTGGTCTGTTTTCCTCTCCAGAAAGCAGTCTCCGCAGAGGCCTGGTTGTTTAAATTTGCTAAAATATCACCATCTAGTGGACTTGCTGAAATATTGCAGGGTTTGGCCCACTCTGGGGAAAAAAAACAATGGGGTGACAGCTGGGGCCTCCCTGCTCTGCTCAGAAACGCCTGGTGGCTCCCCATTGTCTACCAGGTGAAGTCCAAAGGCCAAGCCTGGAATTCCAGGGAACGCACAACCAGGACCCGCCCTGCCTATCGTACTTTATCGTCGGCTTCAACCTCCTGCCCCGCCAGGCCCAGCCTGGCCCAGCCCCTCCCTGCTCCAGAACCTCAAAGTCCACACCTGCCCGGCACATGGACCGGCCCTGTGTCCCAGACCCCACCTTCCTTCTGCCTCTCCACTCTCCTGATACAAACCCTCCTTTCAGGCTCAGCTCGAAGGCCACCTCTTCCAGGAAGCCTCCTCTGTCCTTCAACCCATCCCAGCCTCCCCTGACCTCCCACAACACCTGCCTCAATTTTGTATTTCCATATTTAAAGCTGTTTTGTCAATACATTGCCCTCCCATATCCTGCATGATGGATTCAATAAATGCAAGCCCCATAGTCCCTGGCTCTGGATCCTCATCTGGCCTCCACTGCTTCCTAAGCTCTGAGAACTTTGGTGAGGAGGGAACCTCAACTGGGAAATAGAGGTGAGAACACCTCTCTCACAGGGCTGTGGTAAGAATTAATAAGATAGGATGAAATGTGGGCAGCACACATTAATGCCTTATGGTGGTCATAGAGATTCTGTGTAACATTTCAAATATAAATGATATTCTTGTTCATTCTGTTAGGCATACTAAAGATATGGGGAAACACACACACACAGAGTCAGTCCTCATTATTGGCGGATTCTGTATTTGCAAATTCACCTACTAGCTAAATTTTATTTGCTAAACCAAAATCAGTACTCCCAGTGCATGGTCATTCACAGACATGCACAGGCACAGGTCGGAGTAAAGTGCGTTTCTCCCAATATGCGCCTTCTCAGCCGAAGTAAACAGGCAATACTCTGTATTCTTGTTTCAGCTCTCATACCATAAACAAGTTGCCTTCGATCAGTCTCTTTAGTGCCGCATTTTTCACGTTTTTGTGCTTTCTCGTGATTTTGATGATTTGGCTGTTTCAAATGGACGCCAAGCAGAGTGCTGAGTGCTGTCCAGTGTTCCTGGGTCAGAATCTGTGCTGTGTCTTCGAGAAAATATGCCGCGTTAGAAGAGCTTCCTTTAGGCGTGCGTGATAGTGATGCTGGTCACAAGTTCAGTGTCATTGAATCAACGATAGATACTAAACAAAGTGTCTTTAAACAAAAACACACACAAAATAAGGTTATGTATTAATTGGTTGATGAACCTAACCCTGTATTCCCCTAGGGGCAACAGTTCAGTATTCACTGATTCAGTGTTACAGTGATTCTATAGAACTTTTGGGATAATGAAAATTGTATATGTACATACATTCTCTTTTTACATGTACCGTATTTTGCTGTGTATAATGTGCACTTTTTTTGCCCAAATTTTTGAGGGAAAAATAAGGATGTCCACTATACATGGGTAGTACTAATTACGTATCTGTAAATATTTTTAATTCTTTTATGTGTGCTTATGCATTAAAACTTGAGAAAGCAATGACAATACTCATATGCAAAATAGTACCCTGGTATACTATAATTGGTTTTGTTTCTAAATATAATAAAACCATTGAATTAAAAATTAAAATGAAAGATATTTTTCCTGAAAGTTTGGGCCAAAAACATGGGTGTGCATTATACATGGAAGCACATTCAACATGGCAAAATAAAGTACATACATATATGTGTGTAATAAAATGTAAAGATTGAAGATATATTCCGGATGGAATTATATAATGTCTGGGTTCACTTAAAAATACTCCAGCAGTAGGAGTTAAAGGCGTGTGTATGGAGAGTGTAAAAGAAGTAAGATACCAAAGGCTAGAGATTTTGGAAGTGGTGATTTATTAGATAATTCTTTCCACTATATGCATGTTTGAAAAAGTCCACAACAAAGAGTTTAAAATGCACATTGAGAGAAAATTTGAGGGAAGAATATCTTAGTAACATATTCTGGACTTTCTGTGGAGGCAGGGCTCCAGATGACACTACTGAGATTCCCATTATGGGGAATCTGGAATCCCAAGCCCCCAAGGATGGAGCACCATGCTGAGCTTCAGGGGATTGTCTCTAGTGTCAGCAACCCTCTGACTTGCTTGGCTACCTCTGGCAACTCACAGTGCCTCTGAACCTTTTTTCTTATCAATTAAATAAGGAAGTTTAAGTGAACAACCTATGAGTTGCCTTTCATTTTAAAATCCTCTAATTCTAAAACCAGTATTTCCTACAATGGTGTATTCTGGTACAATATTACAGCCTTCCCACAGCTCCTTCTTCCCTGCCCAGACCATCTTGATACCACTCTTCTCTGAATCTTGCTGAGGTTCTTTTTTGCAACACTCCAACAGGAAGCTATTCTGATTTTGGTTTCTTAAAGTCTGAACTCCTTAGCTGCGTGGTTAAGGTCCATGATGTCTTGAGCTCTTTCTACCAAGAGGTCACAGTGTCACTAAGGAGGACCAGGAGACAGGAAACACAGAGGAAAGTCACCAAGCCAGCCTGGGGAGGCAAGATGAAGTCTCCCGGAGAGATACCTGAAATGAGACCTAAAGGGTGTCCAGGAATTACTGCTGCAGAGTCGGGAAGGATGTTCTGGGCAAAGGCAACAGGGTGTTCCATGGCCTGGAGATGAGAAATTTAGGAAAGGTCCAGATTTCAAAGACAGTCACACTGAGCCCCGAAGGTGCTGGACAGTTGGTTGAGCATAATCCTGCAAAGCAAAAAGGTCCTAGTTTGATTTCCCGATCAGGGCACATGCCTGAGATGCTGCTAGGCCCTGGTTGGGGCATGTGTGAGAGGCTACCAATTGATGCTTCTCTCCTCTCTTTCTCCCTCCCTTCCCCTCGCTAAATAAATACATACAACCTTTAAAAAAAAGTCACACGTAGCCCTACCCAGTCACCCACTATCCCCAACTGCCCAGCATGTGTGATGTGTGAGCTGGGGACCCTGGGCTTCATATTTGAGAAGGTATGTATTGGACTCCCTACCAGTCCTCCTTTAAAAAAAACAGGAAGAAACTTTTATACTTCCCAATGTAGTTTTATTTCGCTTATCCCATATAATCCTGACGACCCATTTTTCAAATGATGGAATTGAGGCTCAGAATGGTTTGGTCACTCATCACACTGAGGGAGGAAGTGAAGATTCAAATGCAGGTCTGACTCCTATCTGTCGTCCTTAACACTGCACAGGGCAACCCGTGCTCAGTGACTTTTAGTCAGCCATCTGCAAAAGGGTGCTTTTTTACAGCCCGAATGCTGCAGTTTACACAAATGCATTGAGTAAGCCGAGTTCAGCGTCAGGGCCAGGGTCGCGTAACAAAGGCCGGTAGCCTCAAGCATCCCATCTTTCCAGGGGTGAGAACTCCAAGTCTTTAGACCTGGACTCAAGTCGTGGCTCCACTACCTTCTCACCATGTGTCATTGATCTCATCTATAAAATGGGTCACGCGCGACTGTCGTGAGAATTAAACAAGAATAGCGGCCGAGCAGCTGGCTGTCCACGTGACTTACGGCGATCAGGAAAGAGGACGTGCCGCCTTTGCCTCACACTTCACTAGGAATGAGCAGCTGGCTCAAGGGAAGCCCCTCCCCTTTTCCGGCTGTGCGCAGGCGTGCTCCGCGAACACCCGGCGTGTGCCCTTGGGATCTGCGGCTGCGCATTCGTCTGGCTTTGCGACTGCAGTACTTGACGGCAGTGGTGTGTTCACCGCCCCTTCCCCCCCACCGGCGTTGTCGGGGTAACGGCGAGCGTGTGGGCTCGTTGAAGGTAAGGTACCAGGCCTAGCGGCGCGCCTCGAGCCCGGGCACTGACGCAGTCGGTCCAGCCTACTGGGCAAGGGTGAGGTTTCACCGCTGGAAGAGACACAGTCTCTCTGAAAGCCCTCCAGAGCGAGAGTGAAAAGGGCGGAGAGATTTCCCCCGGGTTCCACAATGGGACCGGACAGGGCCGGGGGGAGAAGCTAGGCTTCCTGGTTCTGCCGGAATTAACTCCTCACCTCCTTCTCGGTGCACCTGTGGCCCTTCATACTTTTTCACTTGTCTTTCTGGAAGCATTGACGCCACGTCCCAGAGCCGCTGGATGGCGGGCTTCATGCGACCCCTCTGCCCAAGAGGAGCCTCAGCCGCTAGTTGGGTTGCTGGGGGTTGGTGGGCACTCAAGGAAACCAGAAAAAGGATAAGTTAAGACAGTTAGGAATTTGTTGGGCCCGGAACACTTTTCGAGTTGTATGCCATCATTCATTGCAGTTCAACTACCGTCTGGCTAGCACTTCCCCATGGTAGGCCCAGTACCTTGCGCCTTCACATAGTTACCCATTTAACCCTCACAACAGCCTTCAAAGGTTTATTGTTTGTTTATACTTTGTAGTCTTAGGTTCTAACTTGACGGCTCTCCAGGGGCAGAATTACCTTGTCCCTTTTATCTCTGACTCCACTGGCCCAGGAGTAAGCAGTTGGAATTTCAAACGTTTTTTTTCAATTGGGAGGTGAACTTGGCTGTGTGGGAAGTTTTAAACCGGGATTGTTAGGGCAAGATGGACCCAGGGAATTGGAAAATTAAATGTAGCTACTTCCCTCCTCCCTTTTGGTTTTGCTTTGTGGTTTTTTGGGGAATAAACATTTTGAGCACCTAAAAGGCATTAGCTTAACCGCTCAAGGGAAAAATAAAGAACAAGCCCTACTTTTAATAGAAAAGTAAACATATTTAACACTGCGGGCCTCTGGTATCAGGAATGCCCAGATTTGGGAAGAGAAGAGTAAGAACCGCTTACACTACATAGCATTCGGCCCCTCTGAGTCCCTTTCTTCATCTGTACAATGGGAATAGTAATAGAATTTTTACCTCAGGGAGCTGTTGGGATTAAGTGTGTTTGAATGTGCCATCCTATAACCAGTGGTTGGCAATGTTGAAATTCTGGGCCCCACCCCAGAATTTCTGACAAAATTGCAGGTAAGACCAGGAAATTAGGAGTTTTAATTTTCCCTGGTGATTCTAAGGGCAGCCAAGCTTGAGAGCCACTGTTCTATGCCACCCCAAGTTACTTTTCTTAATCTCTTTTCAGTTGTCATAATCTGCACATTTCAAACTTCCTGGCAACTGTCCCAGTCCTTCTTGTACATCTGTGTGCTTCAGACGCAGGTCCTCTTTTAGGCCAGTCTTAACCATGCCTGTCTCCCTGCATTACTAACCTCGTGTCTTCTCTAACAATGGGGCTTTGGGCAAACGACTTGCTCCAAGTTGGGTTTTTTGGTCCTTGAAATCAGGACAGTAGTACCCATCTGTGTGGAATACAGCCCAGTCAGTGCTAGCATGTACCTACCAATCACAGTTGGTTCTTCTCATTTAACTAGCATCCCACATCCTCCATCATGCCTTCTCTTATCGTGCCGCTAAAGAAGTATTTCCTAAATGTGTATTGTGTATTTGGAGAGTTGCAAATTCAATCCTTTCTTCTGTTCTTTGCCTCCTAAGTTCAGCACAAGGCAGCTTTTCCACAAAACTACAAAACTAGAGGTCATCTGGTTTGTCCTGTTGAGTATAACAGTTTTATTGGGAAATAACAGCTTTATTGAGAGATCATTCACATACTATAAAATTCACCTTTGTAAAATGTATCAGTCATTTTAGTATTTTCAGAGTTACGCAACTATCACCATCACTGCAATCTGACTTTAAACATTTTCATCATCCTCAAAATGAAACCCATACCTAGTAGCAGTCACTCCAACATTTCTCCCCTCCCCCAACGCCTGCAATTGTTAATCAACTCTGTGGATTTGCTTATTCTGGACATTTCATATTATGGTCTTACACATACAGTATGTGGTCTTTTGTGACTGGCTTTTAGCATGATACTGTCATGGTTCATCATGCTTGTTGTACAATGTATCTGTACTTCATCCTTTTATATTTGCTAATATTCCACTATGGATATCCCACATTTGGTTGACCCATTCATCTGCTGATGGACATTTGGGTGGTTTCCATCTTTTGGCTCATATGAATAATACTACTGTAAACATTCACATACATACAGACTTTGGTGTGAACACGTTTTTACTCTTTTTTTGTATCTATACCAGGAAGTGGAATTTCTGGATCATATGGTTATTCTGTAGTTAACACTACAGTAACTTCCAGATTGTTTTCCAGTTCTGTTCAATTCAAAAATGAAGAAGCTGGGCTCAGAGAGCTTAAGTGGGTTGTGATGGTCACATGGTGATGATGGCATCTCTGTATGTATGGAAGGCCTACTATTGAGCCAGATTCTTGATGTGCATGCTGTCACATGGGCAGAGACGACGCTAGGTCATGGATTTGGAGGCTTTGTGAAAAACTGGGGGATTTTTTTTTTTTTTGTAGCAAGAAACCTGCCACACATACAGCTTTCTTACTATCAAGTGTCATGGCTCAGTATTGCTTTTCTCAGAGTACATGAGCAATCAGAAAGGGAAAATCCTGAATGAACCAGGCAAATTAAAGCATAACTTTTCAGTTTTGCTTGTTTGAGAGAATTTAATTGGAAGTCCTTAAAGTTAGCCATTTAATATTTTCTTTAAAGACACAATTCCAGCCCTGACTAGTGCAGCTCAGTGGATGGAGTGCTGGCCTGCAAACTGGAGTGTCATGGGTTCAGCCCCAGTTGAGGTACAGGCCTGGGTTGCGGCCAGGTCTGGGTTGGGGTGGGGAGGCAACTACACATCGATGTTTCTCTCCTTCTCGTTCTCCCTCCCTTCTCTCTCTAGAAAATAAACAAAATCTTTTAAAAATTTTTAAAAATATAAAAATTTCCAATGTAGTATATACAAGTCAAACACTAACCAGAAGTTAAGTTATAAAAGTGAAAATCTCTTAAAAATCTGAACTGTTCTTGAAAATCCCTAGAAAGTTCCTCACTGAAGAGCAATGTCATGCCTCAAAAAAAGCCAACACAGTATTATTTAAGCTTTAGGAAAAAATGCTGTTTCTATAACCAAAAAGTGAATGCAGTAGTTGGCTTGGGTTGAGGGATGGGTCAGCAAGTAAAAACCTAGTTAAAATGCTGTTAGAAGAAAACCTCTCAACTGACCATTAATGCACGGCGTACGCCCTTTTGTCATGAATGCTGTTCAGTGCGTGTAATATGTACAGTCGTGCTCAGTGTGTGGTTGCAGTGAGGGATCTTCCTTAGAAAGTCTATAGATTCTTATTTTTCATAGCTATCTTTGTCACTGATTTATCGATTTCTCTAACTCTCCTTGGTCTGTTCTTGTTTGTTTGTTTCATCATTTAATTCCTCAGCCTCCTTGAGAGAGTTGATAAAGACATCACACATTGGACAAAGCTTTCAATTTTTTTTTTAATGACCATGAGCTCTTAAAACCACTCACCTTCCTTTCTTAGCTTTGGCCGCCTTCATCGGTTACATCCATTGGCCATTGGGATACTGGTTCTGAATGCAGGAGGCACCTAAATAATGAGTCCTACTTCTTTCTTTGTGAGAGTTTGGAGCCACGTAGTTTAAATGTGTGTGATACAGCTCCCCTGTTTATTCAAGCACCAGATATGTTCACAACTAAAATCAAATCTGGACCCAGGACTAAGAGAGCAGCAGATTCAAGCCTCCCTTCTCTAGGGCGTCTGCTTGTCGCTTAGAGTGGCTGTCCCAGTTTCTTGCACTGTTTACATTTTTTTCCCCTTGCGTATGGTTGAGTTTTCCTAAGTTAAATGCATCTACCACAGCTCTATGTCTTTATCACACAATACACTCAACTTTACTTCCTTCCTTTAGCCATTATTGAATTGCAGCCTGTTGTGCATTAGGTGCTTGTTTTGTCTCCTTGGGCTGAGAATAAGGCCTGGAAGGGAGAGGTACTGACTTCAGCTTCCTTTACTCCCTCCTAGTGCTGGGTGCACCCTAAGTAATTCCACAATTCCCCGTAACCCTTTAGCTTCTAACCTTGAGAAACAGTGAGCCTTCAGACAAAAGGGGATGGGCGCTACCTGTTTGCTGCAGAGCCCAGCAGGAAGAGCTCTGGCATTCAGCAGGCCTGGGATGGTATAGTGCCCCGCTCTCTGGAGTCTTTTACATAATCTTTCAAACCTGTTTCCTTTCTTTATGAGGATGTTAGTAGTGCTCACCCCATAACAGTACTTAGAGTGAATACATGCATCATGCTCAGTGTGAAGCACGTACTCTTCTGAGCACTTTATGGATCTTAACTCTAAAATAGTGTTTTTTTTATCCATATTTTGCAGATGAGGAAACCACAGCACAGGAAGATTAAATAACCTTTACCTGCAATTACACAGCTAGGAAGTAGTGAAGCCAATTCCTGTCCTGGCACTCTGGCTCTAGAGTTCCTTCTCATAGCCACTTGCATTTGGAGTACATAAAAGACCCTTAACTGGGAACTGCTGTTGCCATTGTTATTCATCAACTTTACCTTAAAAACTGGAAGATGTTTGCCATCCCCAGCACCTCTGACATTAGGAGCCCCTGGTAGGTCCACGGTAAAAGTGTTGGCTGAGTGAAAGAATGGGAGTAATCCTAATAGGCAGAAATCCTCTTGTGCTTGCTATCAGACTTTTGCAAAGCATTGTGACTTTTGGGGCATGTCACTAGGCCTCAGTCTTGTCAACTGTAGTGAGAAATAATGCCACTTCTTGGGCACTGTTATGGGAATTGAGATGTTCTAGGTGAATGAGATTTGCACTTCTTTTAAAAAAATTCTCATGATGGTGTCTTTTAGTTCACTGCTTTATAAATATTTTATCTTTACCACAGACCACAGAGTTTTCTGAGCCTAGGTATAATGTACTCACATTTTTGATTGGCGTAGTCATTGACTGTTTCTTTCTCTTCATTATACTCTTTAAAAAATAGTTGCACTTGAAAAATGGCGGAAGCAGTTTTCCACGCCCCAAAGAGGAAAAGAAGAGTGTATGAGAATTATGAGTCTCCCCTTCCAATCCCTTTTGGTCAGAACTGTGGACCTAAGAAAGACTTCAAAATGTTCCGCGCAGAAATGATAAACAACAATGTCATTGTGAAGAACGCAGAAGATATTGAGCATCTGTATGGGAGAGTAAGTACAGGAGACTCTGGCAGGGCTACTTCCCGACAGCCTGGAGGCAGCTACCTTTTCTTCTCCCCATCCACTCCCAAAATAAACTATAAATGACTCATATTCTTCTCTTGCTGTTTGGTCTCATGTCGGAACACTGCCGTTTGACTCAGGTGCCCTGAAACCATGTATCATGAGGATAACTCCCTCATTCTGGACCCACATTTCAGCAATGAAGTAGGGTCAGTAACATTGAACTTTCTTGTCTTTCAGTGATAAAAGTAGTGTGTGTTTATTGTTAAACAAAAAAATCAACTTACAAAAATTAAATTAAGGGTTAAAAAATTAAAATTCCCCACTTCACTCCCATTTCATCCCCAGAAATAACCACAGAGTGGCATATTGTTCTGACTCATGGACAAATCAGATTCAGCCTCAGCAGGTACTCTGGCTCTTTATCTGCTTTCTTCCTAGTTTGGAACCTCTTCTTAGATACGGGCAGATCCTCGTTTTTGCTGTTTTACATTGATAATAGGTTTGAGTTGAGATTGGTAGCTTATTGTCCCACCCTTGGCCCCATCCCTTAACCAGTTCATCACTGGGGCACTTTTTAATAGACAGCTTTATTGAGGTATAATTTACAGCCATAAAATTTACCCATTATAAGTGTAAATTCAGTGATTGTAGTAAATTCATAGAGCTGTGCAACCACCGGTTTCAGAGCCCTCCCATCAGCACAGAGAGCTCCCCTGTGCCCATCGCACTTCATCCCAGCTCCTGCCTTCAGCCTGAGGCACCACCAGTCCACTACCTGTCTCTACAAATGTGTCCTCTCTAGACATTTCTATAAAATATGTAAGTTATAACCACCTTCCCAAAGTGGGATACCGTGGGTGGCATTGACCCTGATGAGATAGGGCTCTAAGCCAAGGATAGTCTCTCCACCTCTTTATAAAGTGTATGTACCATGATCAGTGTGGCTCAGTTGGTTGGAGCATCATCCCCCAAAGCAAAAGATCACTGGTTCAGTTCTTGGTCAGGGTACATGCCTGGGTTGTGGGTTCATCCCTGGTTGGGGCGCGTACAAGGGGAAGCTAATCAGTGTTTCTCTCTCACATAGATGTTTGTCACCTCTCTTTCTCCCTTACCCTTTCTCTAAAAATAAATTTAAAAAATTAAAAAATATATAAAGTGCTATGTACATTATTCTGACCGTTAAATCTTGGTAAGGATAAAAGGTATTCATTTTATTATTCTCTTGATTTTCTATGGGCTTAAATTAATAAATGGGAGGGGGGAATCTACTTTGTTTTTGGAATCATCAGGAAGAAAAGGAGTACTTCAGTCCTGCATACAGGAGAGGCCAAGAAGCTTTTTGTACCAGGTAGCGTTGACTCCCGCTTTGAGACACGCAGCTCCTGAGGAAGAATCCCTGCCTCTGCTTCTGCCTGCCCTGTTGCCTTCAGCATAGAATCCTAGACCGAACTCATGAGTTATGAGATAAAGGAGGCGTGCTAAAAACTCCATAGCTGAGACCTTCGTTAGTAATGGCTAGATAATCAGAGGGAAGATGTAGGAAATCTCTCGTTAAGGCAAATATCTATTCTCCTTTAGCAAAAAAATTGATAACTAAAGGTGCCCTAATTTTGTTTTCTCTCTTCATGGAAGGGTTATTTTGGAAAAGGAATCCTGTCTAGAAGCCGTCCAAACTTCACAATTTCAGATCCTAAGCTGGTTGCTAAATACAAAGGTAAATTTGTGCATTATTCAGTTCTTTTGGCAGATAATTATTTTTTTTTATGTTTGATCTCCCACCTCAGCTTATATAGTAAAATTCTAGTGGAGGAGATGCACACCGACAATTTTACTGCTAAAAATAGGATCATTCTACTAAAGGTGAAAGGGTTCTTATAATGGGTGAAAAAATGTGTTTTATCTAATTTCTAAAATTATCAAAATTGTTATTCAGTCTTTTGTGTTGTTAAGCATTGCCTAGAAGAGTACTGTTCATATGGAAGGCACCGATAGTTAGGTACTTACTCACCTGTATGCAAAATGAGTTTTATTTCTAGAATTAGAATTTGCAACAGTAACTGACATTGATGTGTTTGATAAAACAGTAATGTGTGTAGTTCTGACTTGCTAATCTGCTTTTCTTTAATTTATAAATCTTTTAGCCTAGTACATTTCTCTAGGGAAGTCTTGTGGTAATTACATAACCAGTATCAGCAGGTTAATACATAATTAGAAAGGATTTTTAAAACATTTTATTGTAAAAAAATACAAGTTAAAACTGTACTGAGATATCATTTCAGCAATCAGATTGGCAAAAATCCAAAAATTTGCACATTGGCAAGGCCTTGAGAGACACTCTCATGTGTTTCCGGTAGGAGCACAGGCAGTGCGACCACTCCAGAGAGGAGTTTAGTATCTAGCAAATTATCCATGTATTCACTCCCCCACCCTTCCCCATTCTTCTCTCCTCCTGAATCTTGGTAACCTTAACATGCCTTCTGTGTCTGTGAATATGCCCATTCTAAATATTTCATATAAGTGGAAACACCCATTATAAAGACTTTTGTGTCTTTCACCTTTGTGTTTTGAACATTCGTCCATATCAGAACTTCAGCCCGAATAATATCCCATTGTACGGATATTCTGTGTTTTGTTTTTCCGTCCATCTAAAGATGGACGTTTGGGTTGGTTCCACTTTGGGGCTGTTATGAATAATCCTGCTATGAACATTCATGTACGAGTTTTTGTGTGGACATTTCTCATGTATACCCCCCCACACACATACCCCTAGGAGTAGACTTGCTGGGTCATATGATAATTCTTTTTTATTTTTTTGAGGAACTACCAAACTGTTTTTCACTGTACTTGTACCATTTTACATTCCCATCAGCAGTGCACAAGGCTTCCAGTTTCTCCACATCCTCATGAACACTTGTTATTTTCTGTTTTTGTTTTTGATGATAGCCATTCAATAATGTGAAATAGTGAAAGTTTTTCATTTTAACGAAGTCCAAATTATCTCTCTTTTTTTCTTTTGTTGCTTGTTCTTTTGGTATCATATTTAGGAAACCATTGCCAAATCCAAATTCAGGCAGATTTCCCCCTCTGTTTTCTTCTAAGAGTTTTATAGTTTCAGCTGATACATTTAGGTCTTTGATCAATTTTGAGTTAATTTTTGTATATGATACAAAGTAAGGGGACAACTTCATTGTTTTGCCTGTGGATATCCAGTTGTCCCAGCATATGCATTTACTTTTACCCTAGTAATTCCACTTCTAGAAATTTATCTTAAAATTGAGTGTTAGCCTGTGAACCAAAGGGTCGCCGGTTCGATCGATTCCCAGTCAGGGCACATGCCTGGGTTGTGGGCCAGGTCCTTAGTTGGGGGTTCATGAGAGGCAACCGCACATTAATGTTTCTCTCCCTCTCTCGTTCCCTTCCTCTCTTTCTGAAAATAAATAAATAAGTAAAATTTTTAAAAAAACAATAACAACAAAAGAAATTTATCTTAAAGATATAGCGGCAAAAATAGGGAAAGAAATAGCATAAGGCTATTCATTGCAACACTATTTTTAATATTAAAAGACTACAAGGAGGGGACCAGTGGAATAAACTATAGTGCATTCATATAATGCAATACTATGCAGCTAGGCATGAGGGATACCAGGATATATTTTTAAGTGAAGAAAACAAGGTAAAAGAAAGTCTGCATAGTGTGCTACAGTTTATCTAAATGGGGGGATATAAATATATTACTGAAATATGAGGAAGGATAAGTCATAATTTTTTAATGTCTATGGGGGAAGGATGGAACAGGATGGAAAGAGAGCTAAGACTTCATAGATTTGACTTTGGAACTTTGTAAGAATATTGCACAGTTACAAAACAAAGTCCATTTAAAAAGTAGAGCCCCAAGGGGGAAGGTATTTTGAATGACTTTAAAACGTGATAAGTTGACTGTTTGATTCTAATGAAATAGACTTTGTGTCAATTATCTCATGCCACAGTGGTATTTAACAAACCACCCTAAATTTCAGTGGCTTTCGATAGCAACCAGGTTGCTTCAAGGCTACAGGTTTGCTGGTAGGTCTGCTGATTTTGACTGGATGTGCTCATCCATCTGGCTAATCATGGGTCAGCTGTCTAATGGGCCCAGTCCAATAATGGATTTAGCCAGACTCACTGCTGTCTGGTGGCCTGTCAGTTGGCTGTCAGCTGGTCTAGGATGTTCTCCACCGGGAGGAAGGATGAGGGCACCCTGTATGTCATCCTCCAGCAGGCAAGCCCAGATATGTTCTCATGGTTATGGTTCAGGGTCAGGAGCAAGCCCCAGCACGCCAGTGCTTTCCAGGCTTCTGCTTGCATCATGTTCGCTCATATTTCACTGGCTCAGAGTCAGCAGGTTTGGCAGATGGGAGACCTGGAGAATCGGGGCAGTCAACCCACCATATACTCTAAAGAAAGAAAGGGCTACAAAATAATCTTTATATTGCTTTCAGTGATTTTTATGGGTGATAAGAGTTGTTACTGTTATTCTGAGACTGTTATATGAATATTATATGATTAAGCAAATGAGGAATTATGATGGTGTGGTTGACAGCAGCTAGGATTTTTTACGTGAAACAGCTTGTACACCAGGAAGCAAGGAAGCTATCAAAAACTACTAGGCATGTTTCAAAACAGGCCATGGAAACACTTGAGCATCAGTAAGAATATTACAATTTATTTTAAAATTCATTCCTATAATACCCCCCAAGTGCTTGAATCCTTTAGTTCATGCCAGAAGAAATTCATTGTTCGCCATGGAGGATTCATCATTTTGAAAACTGGCATATGTGAACTGGTTCTTGGAGTAACCAAATAAGGAGGAGTTTCTCTTTATTGAAGAATCCCACTAATAAACAAAGAAATAACAGGATTAGAATATCACTATTTAATCGGGGCCTTGATCAACAATGGTGCTGATGACATAGACCCAACAAGTCATTTTGTGTCTTCTAATGAAAACACATGCATTACCTATGAAGTAGGCTTCCCCCCAAATTGAACTGCATCTAATCGAGCCTCTAATTCCACCAGTTCCCAGGAGACCCAGAGAAGAGAGGAATGTGTTAAGCCTGTGCTGCTCCAAGTACTGAAATGCGGCAACATCAGACCTTTGCAGAATGGAAATAGATTCCATTCCATTTAGCTACTGCTCTTTACTAATCACTTGCAGCTTCCTTCTCCATGAAAATCTGGCTGTGAAAACAAGGGAGCTGAACTAAGCAGTGTGCTGAGACAGTTATCTCTTCCTGAACCGTTGAGCCCATGGCCACCTTGGAGCAGCACTGTGTTAACAGCACAAGGAGGGTGTGATCATCTGAGGCCAGGTGGGAGGAGTCCTGTAGAACAGGAGATCCAATTCTGCAACAAAGGAATTTCCAAAAAAATCATAGCAGGGAAGAAACCTATATATTAGAATCAACAATTGCAGTATAGGTCCTTATTTGGATTTTGAGTCAGACTTTCCAAAACAGAAAAAAGCTGTGAGACAATGCATAGATTTTGGATGATGCAAGTAATATTAATTTTTTAAAGTGTAATAATGGTATTATGGTTATGTTTTTTTAACAAAAGAGTCCTTATAGAAATACATACTAAACTATTTCAAGGTGAAATGGTGAGATATGAGAAATCTCTTCCAAAATAATCTGGAGGTCATGAGAATTGGCAGAAAAACAGATGAAGCAAGGTTGTCCATGAGTTAATTTTTAAAGTTGAGTGATGGGAACATAGGCATTTATTATACTATTCTCTTTACTTTTTTCTATTTTAAAATGTTTTTATAGTAACCCTTTTAAAAGGAGTGGGGGCAAAAAGTAGAGCAAATAACAATGGCTGTGCTTCTATCTATCACCCAGCTTTGGCAGTTACTAATATTTGACCAAAAAAGTCAAAGGTTTTCAAATAGTGTAATAATCTCGATAATTATTAATCTCTTTATTAATCTCTTTCTTGTCTATGTAGTAGCTAAGTTTTAAATGGGGATAGAAATTTGAAGGAAATGAACTTATGACAAGGAAATAAATTAAGGTCGTGGGCTGCCCTAAAGAAGTAAATCCCAAATGTCCGCTTTAGCAAATTCTTTTTTTTTAAATTTAATTTATTTATCTTTAGAGGGGAAGGGAAGGAGAGAGGGAAGGAAATATCAATGTATGGTTGCCTCTTGTGCATCCCCTGTGGAGACTGGCCTGCAACCCAGGCATGTGCCCTGACTGGGAATGAACCACGATCCTCTGGTTCACAGGCCCGCACTCAATCCACTGAGCTGTATCAGCCGGGGCAGGAAATTCTTCAAAAACTAGCTTCAACCTTGCTTTCCACCCTGCCCTCTAGCCACTTACTTGCTGGCCCTGTAGCCACCTGGGGCAGCTTACCATTCCAGGAACCCGCAGTGCCGTGCTTCCCTCTGCTGACGTGTGTCCCCCCCCCCCCCCCCCCTCCACCTGGCAAGCAAGCGTCTGTTCCTCAGAGCCCAGCTCAGTCATTTCTTCTCCCTTGTGGTTTTTCCTAACTCTCCAGGCGAAGTTAACCAGTCCCTTTCTAATCCTTTACGTAGTCACAAATTGGCTTGGGTTAGAATCCTTCATTTCTGCTCTACCTCCTTATTTAGACTTTGAGTATCTCAGGAAAGGGTTATTTGCTTTACTACTTTTGTATCTCTAGTGCTTGGCACATAAAAGGCTGTCAGTAAAACTTGCTAAATTTTCATTTGTTGTTAAATTACCAGAGGAGAGAGACCATGACACAGAAAACTGACAAATCCCTAACAGGGTATCAGTCTGTGAAATCTTTTTTATGGGATTTTCAAGCTGAACATCTTCTATTTTAATCCTTTAACCCACCAAGGGAAGGCTGAATTTGGGAAAGGAGAAATGACTCTTCCAATGTGTTTCTTATGTGCATTATAATACATATTTCTTTATTCTTCAATTACAGTTGACATTCGGTATTATATTAGTTTCACATGTAAACTAATATAACATGGCAGTTAGATACTTAGGTAGCTTACAAAGTGATCCCCCTGATAAGTCTAGCACCCCCTGACACCACGCAGCTATTACATATTATGGACCCTATTCCCTCTGCTGTACTTTACATGCCCATGACTGTTTAGTCATGCCCATGACTAACTACCAGTTTATACTTCTTAGTTCTTCACCTTTTTCACCCAGCCACTCAAAACCCCTCTCACCCAGCAACCATCAGTTTATTCCCTGTATCTGTGAGTTTGTTTCTGTTTTGTTTGTTCATTATTTCGTTTTTAGATGACACATATGAGTTAAATCATATGATCTTTGTCTTTCTCAGTCTGATTTATTTCACTTAGCATAATACCCTTTAGATCCATCCATGTTGTCTAAAACCTACACCGTTAGGTGACCCAATAAACATTTTAGGTGGAAAGACTCTTCCAGCCAGATGCCCAGAACTCCCAAGTCCATACCCAAACACCGCCATGAAACTTACTTTAACAACCCTTTCTTATAGGCACAGACTTCACTGAAGATGCTTTGTGGAGCACAGGGCAATAGGGGTAAAGTGTGGTAACTTTCAGGCCTAAGTATTCTGATCTGAAAGTTGAGAGCATGAGCATTCAGAGGTGGCAGAAAGGAGTCTTCTTGCATGCCATTGCTGCTAAGCTAGAATGTTGAGAAGGATTCCGAGGTCACACCTGAGCCCAGAGAGAGCACTGTGATTGGTCAGCTGCACCTGCCAGGGGTTTGGGTGCAGGGAGTAATGGCATGTAAAATACCTGTTTGCTGTTGCTAGTTGGACAGTCAACCTTCTAAGGGTATGATTTGGTGAATTTTGGTATTCCCTTAGTGTTCTCTAGGTTTTTAGTGTTTTTTCCCCTTAAGGAAATTTTGTCCCAATTAATAGAACTTCTCTGTTGTTACAGATATGAAGACAGATATGCCTATAATCACGTCAAAGAAGTAAGTCATGGTGAACTTTGACCTTGGTCAAAATTATCGTTTAAATCAGGTCTAATTTTATTTATTTTTATTGACTCATTTTAGAGAGAGAGAGGACCGGGGGAGAGAGACAAACAGACACACACATAAATTTGTTGTTCCACTTTTTTTATGCATTCATTGGTTGATTCTTGTATGTACCTGGACCTGGGATCAAACCTACAACCTGGGCTTATTCGGATGACACTCTGACTGACTGAGCACCCAGCCAGGACAGTTCAGGTCTTATTTTTAGATAACCTTTTCTGATGTGGTAGCCCCTGCCTTTTTTTTAAGTAGATGTGTCCTCTAAAATTGTCTAAATTTAATGTGAATCAAATCATATTTGAAATGTACTAACTTAATTTTTTTAAAAACGATCCTAAACCAAATCCTTTGCAAGTTGAATTCCTTCCAAAATATGAACAAACAACTACCCTGTCATGTATATATCTTTAAGTGCTAAGATGCTTAGACTTAGATTTGGAACTGGCCTCCTGTGCTGCGGGGCATGCATGGCTCTGACCTCTTTCCTTTGCTCTACACTTGCAGGGTTAGAGAGGGAAGATTTCACAGAGGCTCTTCTTCATCCACTCATGTCGTGCAACTCCTTCCTCCCGGCACTCGTTTACACTGTTCCCATTTCCCGGAACCTTTCTCCCTAACACAGCAAACACACACACTGCCTGGCTGTTTCTGTACATTCCACATACAGCTTACTGTCGCCCTCAGAGTTTCTCTCCTCACTACCACCCTTCCCTCTGCTGAGCTGGGAGCCATTCCTCCAGCTCCCAGGGAGTCTACTTTGGTGCCCCTCACTGTACTGTTTGTCATATACCTAGATTTAGGATATCAGTTCTTGGAGAGCAGAGGTCATGCCTGGTTCCTCTTGGCAGTCCCAGCATGTAGTGGTTCCTTCATAGGATCTTGTCGGCTAATGATCATCTGTCTAAATCTTCATCATCCCTGAGGGGAAGCTTGAGTCACAACTTTTCAGGAAGCATTTTATTTTATTTTATTCTTTTGTTCTATTATTTTGTTCTATTATTTTATTTATTATTTTAATTTTTTTTAAATTCTCACCTGAGGATATTTTATTATTGATTTTTTTAGAGAGAGAGGAACATCAATGTGAGAGAGAAACATTGATCAGTTGCCTCTGATATGTGCCCAACCAGGGATGGAACATGCAACCTAGGTATATGCCCTGAAGGCTTTTAAAGCCACTCAAGCCCACAATATTTTCTTATCTTGCTTCTGCATTCACTTTCACTGGCAGAATCTGACAGCTCCTTTTTGTTTACATGACCAATAACCCCACAGCCGAATGAGGTTCCAGCAGGCAGCAGCACCAGGGAGATCTTGTTGGCTGCTTCGGCTGAAACCGCAGGCTGAGCACAGGGGTAGGCTCCAGTCTGTGAGAGGGGCCTGCTAAGAGCCTGGCTGAACCCCCCGCCCAGGAGGGCTGTAGTATCTGCAGGTCACTGCGGCCAACACAAAAACTCAAAACAGATCAGAAGCCTGCCCCTCAGAACTGCGTCCTGATCGGGCTGGCAGTAAAGATGACCTGACATTAAGCCAGTCTGACTATGTAAGGCTCTGGATGGGGGAGATGGTCGCCTCCGTGAAGGTTATTCCTTTGTAAGCTCTTCATCGAAATATTCCAAAAATTTTATTGATTCCTGTATTAGTTACCTAGGACTGCTGTAAGCAAGTACCACAAACTTAGATGGCTTAGAGGAACAGAAATTTATCCTCACCGTTCTGGAGGTCAGAAATCCACAGTTAAGGCACACTAGGGCCACTCTCCCTCAGGAGGCTCTAGGGGAGGATCCTTCCACGCCTCGGCTTCTGGAGATAGCCAACATCACCATCATCACCGTTATAGCCAACGGGTAGTGATTGTTCCAGCAGTGCCAGTAACTGGTCTGTATACCTGTTTATCATCTCAGTCCATCTTCTCAAGAAATGTTTCAGGTAGGTGTAGTAATTTCCATCCCATACATGGGAATCTGTGATTATCTTGCCCAAGATTACATGAACTCAAACCAGGGAAGTCCAGTTCCAGAGCCTGAAGGGAGTTGACACAGAATGAGAGTGACACAGTTTATGTACTGTCATTTCTCGAGTATGTTCCTTGTCCTAGATACCATGCTAATTAGAAGTTTATGGGTTGTCTTCTTAAGTCCTTCCATCACCCCACGAGGTAGGTCCTGTCTTTGACAAGTGAGGAAACAGAAGCAGAGGAGGTTAAGTAATTTGGTTAAGACCAGTACTTGGACCTAAACAGACTGACTCAAAACCCTTTTGCACCCTGGCGAGGTGGCTCAGTTAATTGGAGCATTGTCCACTACACAAAATGGTTGTAGTCAGGGCTCATACCTGGGTTGCGTGTTCGATATCCTGTCGGGGCATAGATGGGAGGCAACCAATCAATGTTCCTCTCTCTCTTTCTCTCCCCCTTCCTTTTTCTCTAAAATCAATGAACTTATCCTCAGATAAGAATTAAAAAGACATTTTGGTATGAACTTTCAGGGATAAATGGGCATTAATCAATAAGATGGTGAAGGGCATTCTATGGAAGTGGAGGAGATGTGCTCAGGGCGCAGAAGCATGAGCAGCTGAGGCACATTCGAGCGGCACCATTCTGTGTGCTCGCTGCTCTTCATCAGTCTCATCACTGTTTCTGATCAGATCTGCTGCCTCCTTTTCCTTCTGCCTCTGTTTTCTGCCTCCCTTATGTTTTCTGACTTTCACTTTTCTCTCCCTGAAGTTTCTCCAGCAGTGTTTGGGGTTAACCGCAGTAGGATTTGGCTTTTGAAAGCATTGCCAGCCAATTAGAGGATTCCTGTTCTGTGACCCGTGTGCCATATGTCTTAGTCATTCGTGCATCTGGCTGTTTTCATCACCAGTTTTACTCAGAGGCTTTCTTCTACATACTTTGGCAGCCACTGTCTCATTTGTGCTTTCATAAATGAACATCTAAGGTCATCGTGAGACAGAAATGCAAGCATGATTCTGGCATTTGGCAGAAAAACAGAAAGAGACTAGAGGTGCTAAGTGGCTTAACTGAGAATCACAGAAGAGCCAACTCCGGAACCCAGATGGGGTGCAGCAGTTTCCCCCACATGGCTACTCTTGCTCACAAAGAGCAGTTACTGTATTTTGCCATGTATAATGTGCACCCACATTTTTGGCCCAAACTTTCAGGAAAAAAATCTTTTGTTTTAATTTTTTAAACTATTTATTTATATTTAGATACTTGTTTTTTGTATCATAAAGGAATTTTAGCATTTATTTTTTAACATATGGTACAAGAAATTTTATGTAACGTAATTACAAAACATAACAGATACCAGGTATTTCAGGTACTACCCATGTATAATGTGCATCCTTATTTTCCCCTCAAATACTTGGGCAAAAAAAGTACACATTATACACAGCATAATATGGTAATTAAGATGTGCACTTTTAATGTGACATATATTTAGTCAAAATGTTTTTATTTTTCAAGTTTCCCTAAAAATCCCACAATCATACAGTAACATATTTATTGAGCACTTATTATGTCCTGAGCACTTTACATGTCTTGTCTCCTTTAATCCTTGCAACAGCCCCATGAGGAAGGTACACTTATCCCTGGTTCACAGAGGGAGAACTGAGCCTTAGAAAAAAGGGTACATAGCTCATACGAGAACATGATGGAGTGAGGATTTGAGCCCACATCGGCCTTCCCCATTCTTTTGCAAAGAGCAGGGCAGTGACCTGTATGTGCTCTCCCTCTCTCAAATTCAGATCTTCTGCTCAAAGGATGGACTACTGAACCTTTAATTTGGTGGTTCTTTCATATATTTTGAGTAAAGGAATTTGATTAAAACTTGTGGTTCCCTTTCCCAGAAAAATACACATTGACAGGAAAATTTGTGTAGAAATAAAGAAGATTCACAGACCCATAAAGCCATAGAACCAATGCTGTAGGTCAGGGGTATCAAACTCATTTTCACTGGGGGCCACATCAGCCTTGTGGTTGCCTTCGAAGGGGCGACCCTGCATGGGTGATATGAAGAGCGTAGATTCTTTCTGGATCTCTCAAGTGAAAGTTCTCTTGAAACTGCATGCTACAGTGACTTTTCCTACAGGTGAAAGACATCTCGCTGTTGTATGGGCAACTACCTCTTGCCCTGATTATAAAAAGTAGCACAGAACATGATTCCTCTGAGGTAATAGTAGTATTTTCCCCAGCTCATGGATAAGAAACTGAAACACAAAAAAGTTAGGTAATTGGTTTTGTCACACAGTTATAAGTGCCAGTCAGGGCGGAACACAAAATGTATGTCGCTGCATGCTCCTGCTGCTTCGGTGTTAGAGGACCCTTGCCAGGTTTTAATTTTTTAATCTAAGTACCATTTCCAGTATATAGGAATGCATATTCATCCCCACGTAGGATAAACAGGAATGTCAACAGCTTGGAGATTCCCTCGATGAATCAGGATTAAGCAGCCACACACCCTTTTTTAAATACAACAGAAGCCAACTTCCATGTTGAACTGTATGTGAGATGTAGCAGTTTATCAGCTATGACATATTCAGTCTTCCATACACAGACAAAATACTCAAGGTGAATTATAAAGTTCCATTTGTCTTTTACAAGCCAGTTGTCTTCTCAGGTGCTTTTTATACTCGCAGCTATAGGTAGAGGCAAAAGCACATGAGTTTCACAATGTCTTTGGCATTCCGCTGATCAGATTTCCCACAAGCAGCGGTGGCCTCGCATCCTGTGAGTGCATCCCAGCAGCATCGTTCAGTACTGATGCTTCTTCACTAGGGCAGAATGCTGTTGTCTTACTGTAACTTTTTGTAACTGGGGAGTGTTCAGAGCTTACTTTCAAGTTTAAGAAACTAAGCATGTATTTTCACCTTAAAAATACAGTTTAAAAATTATTATGGAAGAAGGGGCCATTTCTATTAGGATGCTTGGCTGTATGCATATAACCATATACATTTTTTTCATGTGTGATGGAGACATTAGAAGGTACTGTAAAAAATATTTGCTGGATTTTTCGTTTTTGCTTCCCAGTACCAAACAAAGGCTCTTTATGTTATGAGTGGGATATATATCTGAAAATGTGATGCCTAAATTGAAGATAATACAAAACAAATTATGACAAAGAATGGCATTTTCTTTTTTGTATTATATTTACCAAAATCATTTGGTCTACCAGTTTTAAATTACATAAATTTTCATACTTTGTTAAATTGAGGTTAATTTTTATCCAGTTGAACAAGTTAAATGAAGCTCTATAATAAAAACAAAGTAATACATGCTCATTGCAGAACAGTTAGAAAATACCAAAAAGTACAAAGAAAACATTTACCTATAGCCTGCTATTCAGAAAAAACACTAAACATTTTGGCATGCTACCGTCCCATCTTTTTTGCACACTCTGTTGACTTTTAAGTACTGAAATTCAAGTGTTGTTACTAACACTATTTCTGTTTTGCAGGTATCAGCGTAGTGTAGAATGGGCCACAAAGCTCATGCAAAGACAGGTTCAGGATGAGAGTACAGTGCGTAGAATCCTTGAAGATTACACAAAACCACTTGAGCGTCATTACATCAAACGGAATGAAGACATCCCATTGCCTGATGAGCCGAATTCTGAAATAGTTTCCAGAATGGAAGCCACCATGGATAAAGAGACACCTTCTGTGATGAACGGGGACTCGGGAGAGTCAGATGATACTGAGGATCCCAGCGAGCAATCAGGCTGCCTCCGGGAAGGCTCTGGGCATGCCCCACTACCTGCAAACAGCTCGGATGAGCACGTTTGCAGTCAGGTCACTGCAGCTCTGCCCCAAGTCCGTTGTGGCAAACAAGATGTTCTCCTTCCCCAGGGTAGCACTCGGGACAGCAGCCAACAGGCAGGTCTCTGTGCCAGAGAGAGAGGCCCTGATGACGAGTATGTGCTGGTGGAGGAAGTTGTGCATGATGATGTGAGCGAAAGGGAAGATGCCCCAAATGAGGAAGTAAGTAGGAGAAAATAAATCACTTCTTTCAAAGCCATCTGTTTCTGGTTTCATAGGAGGTACTGACTAATTGGATGTCCCTTACTTGGGACTGGTAGCAAGCCTGTATTAAGCACCCAGTTTACGTGAGAGGAGGTCATGACACCACACTGCAGACACTGCAGGGGAACCAGCAAGTGCTGGTTCTGCACCGGTGGCTCAGTAATTGGGAGGACTGTTTGACTAAAACATTGAAGTTTGTGAATAACTTAACATTTTAAAAATATACAAATTAAAGCAGATCCAATGATCCTCCTTTGTGTGGAGAAGAAGAAACGCAGTGGTGATTGCACACAGTCCTGCGTATAGATGCAGGGTTGGTCTCCAGTGTGGCGGTCGGCCATCGCAGGAGAAGCCTGGGAAGCAGATTCACAGCCACCTCATTAAGGGATGTGCTGGTAGGGTTGCCCTAGAATTATCTGTAATAGTTAAAAATGAGAAACAACCTAAAGGTTAAGTAGTAGTATGTGAAACACCCACTTGAAGAAATGTTATCTGGCCTTTCACATGAGGTTTATGATGTCGCATTAAGAACCTGGGCACATGCTTGTGAGGCACAGTGAAAAAAAACCAAAACATAAAATCAACAAAATGACCACTAGGGGAAAAATTCATGGGACAAAAAGAAAGGAAATAAAATGTTAATAGTACAAAACCCAAATTTTTTGCACATAAGTAACAAAAAAATTACTTTTTAACAGCATGAATCCAACAAATGAGAATCTGGGAAATTTATAAGAAAATTATTCATTTTAAAATACAATCTCCTTTATATAACATCTAGTGCTTCCATTTGTTATGTATGTATTTTACTTCTTTCTCTTCAGTTGGCACAAGAAAAGAGATTAATATGCAGAAGAAATCCATATAGGATTTTTGAGTATTTGCAACTCAGCCTAGAAGAGGTATGTTTCCAGCCTGTTCTCTTTTCAGCCACTGGTCTCTGGGCCTGGGCAAGACTGTGTAGGTGAGTCCACCTCAAAGCGCAACTCTACATAATTCAGTAACTGAGTAATCAGTAATTGAATATCACAATTAGGTGTTAGGTCACCCTGGGCAGCTTCCAGAGTAGACCTGCCTAAATTTCACTCCTTAGCCTTCATTTTATCAATTTTAAGATGTGCCTTTGGGGGGCCTTCTCTACATCATTCCACAGAGGTTTTAAGAGGTTTGTCTGAGCACTTCTTTGCACATCAAAATTTTAGATTGGCCAAGTATTACTAATTTTCACCAGGTTCAAAAACAGTGGTTTATTGAGATAGAGTTCACATGCCATGCCATTCACCCATTTAAAGTGTACAGTTCAGTGGTTTTTAGTGTATTTGTAGAATTTCACCAACTTCCAGTAAGCTGTGATGCACTTTAAGACATGTGATGATTGCTAATCACTAAAGGCACTCATGGTATTTCCTTCTGCAGAATTACTAATATGTGCTAGTGCTGTATTTAACACACTAGCTACTTTCTCACAAGTTGGTTAAAAACATAGCTTCCTAACAACCACATCATGTTTTTCCTGATTCGGAGTTCCTCTAGCCTGTGTTCATGTGACACTCAGCCCTTCCCCTTTTTTCACTTACATTTATACTGTGTGCAGAAATGTCCTTTCTGCCCTTGAAGATAACACCCCTTCCGCAGTCTCAAGCCCAAGGGTATGCCTCCTCTCCAGGAGTGCTCTTGTCTGGCTCGGATAACTTGCTTTTGCAGTTTGTAGCACAGTTCTGGGTGTGTACACAGGTGTTGAGGAGTGCTTGTTAAATGCGTCTGTGTGGGTAATTTCATACTGTGTTAACGGGGAAGTAATTGTGTCTCCATAGCCTCTTGATGTTCTGGTCTGCACTTCCTTCCTTGCAGTGAAGCCATTGGTACAAGAATAGACTTTCAGACAGGAAAGGATGTTTAGAATTATTCACTTCATCTCCTCATTTTACAAATGAGACCGCTTAGTCTGCTGTTGAATACGATAAGCTCTGTGTGTGACTATTTAATTTAAACTAATTAAAATTGAACAAAATTCAAGATTCTGTTTCTCAGTTGTGCCAGCTACCTTTAAAACACTCAATAGCCACATGTGACTAGTGGCCATTGCATTGGACAGCACATATGTATGTAGAACATCCCCTGAGTCTCAGCTTTCTTCTCTGTAAGATGAGGGTTATGTAACACCTTGTTCATAAGATGCTCTGTAATACTTTCCATCATTTCAGCACAGTTCCTGGTGTGTAGTAAATGCTCAGCCAGTGTTAGTGCCTGCTCTTGGCATCATCATTGTTATCAAGTTACTTTGAAAAACTATTTAGTAGCTCGGGAAATTTTTAGAAAATATACCCTTTGATGAAAAAACAACTATTTAGTAGCTAATTGGAACTCTTTATTTCAAATCAGTATTTTTTAATTTAAGTATAGTTGGTATATAATATTATAGGAATACAAATTTTTTTTTACCAGTATGAATCCAACAAACATGAATCTGGGAAATTTGTAAGAAAATTGTTCATTTTAAAACATAATCTCCTCTGTGTAACATTTAGTGCTTCCATTTGTTTTGCATGTATTTTCTTTCTTTCTCTTCAGTTTTAGGTATATGCAGTCAGTATTTTGCAAAAGTATTCACTGGGTATTTACTGTGTGCCAGGCACTGGGCTAGGTACTAGTAATACAGAAGTAAATAGAATACGGCTCTCGTCCTAAACAGCCCAGAAATCATTACAGTTCAGTGTGATATCGATATACACACACACACACACACACACACACAAATCTTGTCCCAGTGTTGCTCCTATTGTATCCTTGTACCCAATACCTCACATCCATTAGATGCTTAGTAATTACTTGTTAAATTGATGTGTACAGGTAGGAAATTTACATAGAAACTGATGGAGTCCAAATGGACACACACTAGCTAGAAGACTTTACAGAGCTGGTGACACCTGCAGATGTTAAAGAATAAATAGGGGATTGCCAGATGGACACAGGACGGCATGGGCCCTGGGTCCCCTATCATGCAGCTCAACCCTGGAAGTGACTGCAAGGGAAGGCTAGATTGTGACAGGCATGAGTCTGAGCTGGTACATGGTGGCCCCAGGGCATTACAGGCAGTGATGTAGGGGAGTGGCAGGAACCAGAGTTGGCATCAGTATGAACGTGGGCTGGAGGGCTGACCCTTAAAGACCCTCCCAGCCTCTCAGCTCGGGGAGGTGGCAGCAGTAGGCCTGGACAGAGTATCAAGGGTAGAAACTGGGGCTTCAACCTTACTGATGCAGATGGGTGACCAGTTGATGCTTTTAGTGACAAATAAAAAGCCTCCCAAACACTCCTTGAAAAAAGGCAAGAGTAATAGGAGATAGCAGATGAGGTTGCTCTGCATTCTTGGAAGCTGTTTGGCTTTTAAAAACACTCCAGAGACATGTTGCAGAAGTTTTCTAGGAACACGCAGTTAAACCTGGCTCTGCTTCTCAGTTCTGTTTGGCAGACTTTCTTTGAAAGGATCGACCATGTTTGGCACACAGCTTGAACATTTTAATGTATTTCTGTAAATGTCAGGAACACAAGCAGCCCTGCTACAGTGACTCAAAGCAGTTCTTTTTAGCAATTGAATGGTACTTTACAGCTGATTAAAAGGTCTGCCTCTCCAAGATCTGTTACTGATAGCTATTTTTCTGTTATAATGATTTGGGCCCTATGTAGACTTAGCGATATGACGTTAAAATCAGTGTTCAACTCATCCCTCTATCTTATTAGTACTACCAAAGCAAAAACTTATCAGTGAGATCTCAAGGGATCTCATAATCACCAGCCCTCACAGACCTCCCCAGTCTACTGATTTCATTCTAAATAAAACCAATTCAGTTGAATTAAGATCCTCTCCATCTGTAACAAGTGCCTAAGATCAGTTTGCATTGATTCATAAAAGCCATTTCAGGTCAACAAAAATGAGGCATTGGTTTCATCAGTTCTTAGGGAAATATATGCTAATAGTGGAAAGTTTCTGTAGTACTTAAATTCTAACAGATACCAGGAAGGAATTTCTTGCTAGGCAAAAGTTGGATTGAACTTTTACAGACTACAGTATCTAAATGGTTTTTAGAAAGGAAGGGACACTAAAATGAATTGAACAGTTAGGTGCTTTGCAGAGCTTTTTAAATCCTTATGAGATTTAACTTCATTAAATCTTTAAGAAGACATTATTATTCCCATTTTATAGGTGAGGTAGGAGAGTTTAAGTGTGACTTCCAAGGCCCTGGCCATTAATGAAGACTCCATCCCTGGTCTGTCATATGTCAAAGGTCATTCTTCCTGTTACACCATTCTGAACCAAGAAGTGAGAAAGTGAAAGGGGAAAAAGGGCTTGGCTATTTGAGGAACAACTTTGTCTTTCTATTGCACATTTTGACCACCATTGGTGTCCATCTGAGGGGGAAAGAAAGGTATTCTATATTAATAAGTGGGCCATGGGAAGGGTAAAGGTCAAAATAAGATTGTTGGACACCTGGGAGGCCATCACTAGTACCTGGGAGGAGAAATAGGACAGAGTGTTCACACCGAGGAGAAAGGAGCTAAAAGAGCCCAGTCTGCCTCGGGTGGCTCTGGCAGTTTGGGCCTAAACCAAGGGCAGGATCCAGGGACCTGTTTCCTTACTCAGTACGGCTCTGAGCACCCACAGTGTGCTATGTGCCTTTCTAGACCTGTCTGCTCTCACAGAGTTTGCATTCTATTTGTAAAGACACATATAAGAGGGATATTTTCAGATAAAAATAAGTGCTCTTTGGAAGAAGACAGTCAGGATGGGGGTTACCTAAACATAAACACTGTGGTTGGAGAAGACCTCTCTGAGAAGTGACCTTTGAGTCTGGGGCAGATTTTGCCAGATGTGGGAAGCAGAGCAACTACAAAGGCAGATACGAGCTTACTGTGTTGAGGGGGGCAAGGCAACTAGAGAGACTGGTGGTCAGACACGGAGAGGCTGCAGGTGGTAGGAAGCGAGAATGCAATAAAGCCCTTTGGAGGGTTCTAGTCATAGGAACCACATCGTCACATTTTAAGAAAATGGCTCTGCCTCCTGTGGAGAGTGAACTGTGAGGGACCAAGTGAGAACAGAGAGGCCTTACTTAGCAGAAGTATAGGCAGGAGCAGGACCATGGTAACCAAGATGGGCACATTCACCTTCAAAAAGCTCTAGATTTAGATCTAGGTAAAACAAAAGTAGTTCTCAAACCACTTTATTCTCTTAAAGATTGTCAAGGATTTCAAGGAGTGTTGTTACTTGGATTGTATCTGTTGACATTTATCAAGTCACCTCCTTGGTTAAATTTATTCCTAGGTATTTTCTTCTTTTTGATGCAATTGTCAGTGAGATTGGTTTTTTTTTTTATTTCTTTTTCTGATGGTTCATTATTAGTGTATAGAAATAACAGATTTCTTTATATTTATTTTATATCTTACAACTTTGCTGAATTTATTTATTAGTTTTAATAGTATTTTGGTGGATTCCTTAGGGTTTTCTATGTATAATATCATGTGATCTGCAAATGGTGAGCTTTACCTCTTCTTTTCCAATTTAGGTGCCTTTTATTGTCTTTTCTTGCCTTATTGCTCTGGCTAGGACTTCCAGTGCTATGTTGAATAAAAGTGGTGAGAGTGGGTGTTTTTTACTGATTTTAAACCATTCTGTGACATTTATGTTTTCATAGATTTTTTTAATCCTTGAAAATTATATGAACCATTTTTGTTAAAAATATGTGACTACTTGATGATGATTCAAGGACATGAATTTTTATTTGAGGCAAAGACAAATCAGTCTGTAAAATAATTTCTCAGAAATGTGGAATAGTTTCTAACAAGCATTTTCTGCTTGGTCTGTTTCTAGGCCTTCTTCCTGGTCTACGCTCTGGGATGTCTAAGTATTTACTATGAGAAGGTAAGATGTTATATTTAGATACAATCCACTTTAAATTTTCCTGATGTTAAAAGCAGGTTGTAGTAATTTCAGTTGTTTCAATAAAATGTATCTACTGTCACTGAATAAAACAGGAATTGGCTTTTTCTCTAAGTTTCAGCTTTAGAGATTGGAACTGTTCAGACAAGAGCTAGCTTTGACCCTCTTTTTTATTTAATATATTTATTTATTTATTTTTTGAGAGAGGGGAAGGGGAGGAGAAAGAGTGGGAGAGAAATATCAATGTATGGTTGCCTCTCATACGTCCCCTGCTGGGAACTGGCCTGTATCCCAGGCATGTGCCCTGACTGGAAATCGAACCACAATACTCTGGTTCGCAGGCCCGCACTCAATCCACTGAGCTATGCCAGCCAGGGAGCTTTGACCCTCTTAGACTGAGTTTTATTCCCAGAGGTTAGGAGAAGAGCAATATCTTACATAATGACCAGGAAATCTATGTCAGAACAACACTAAAAATTAATAACAAAAAATAAAAGCTTCCAGTGTTTAGCACCACTTTAGGCTGTTTATTAGGTGCTTTACATACAAACTTTTTTTTATATTTCATACTTTGTTTTTTTTCCCTTCTCCCCCCCCCCCCTCCAACCCCCCCCCCCCCCTCCCCCTTTTCTCATTAAAACCTCCCCAATTTTTTTTTTTTTTTTTTTCCTCTTTTTCCTCCCCCCCTTTTTTCTTTTCTTTTTTTTTTTTTTTCTCCCTCTCCCCCCTTCTTACTCCTTTTTTTTTTCTTTTGCTCTTTAGTTTGCTTTTGTTTTAGGTGTGGTTGTTACTAACTGTGAGTTTGCTGTCCTTTCACTGTTCATCTTTTTTATCTTCTTTTTCTTAGGTAAGTCTCTTTAACATTTCATATAATAAGGGCTTGGTGATGATGAACTCCTTGAATTTGGTCTTATCTGAGAAGCACTTTATCTGTCCTTCCATTCTAAATGAAAACTTTGCTGGATAGAGCAATCTTGGTTGTAGGTCTTTGGTTTTCATGACTTGGAATACCTCTTTCCAGCCCCTTCTTGCCCGTAAGGTCTCTTTTGAGAAATCATCTGACAGTCTGATGGGAACTCCTTTGTAGGTGACTGTCCCCTTAGCTCTTGCTGCTTCTAGGATTCTCTCCATTTTAATCTTGGCTAATGTAATGATGATGTGCCTTGGTGTGTTTCTTCTTGGGTCCAAGTTCTTTGGGACTCTCTGAGCTTCCTGGATTTCCTGGAAGTCTATTTCCTTTGCCAGAATGGGGAAATTCTCCTTTATTATTTGTTCAAATAAGTTTTCCACTGGTGGCTGTGCCTTTCCCCCTTCTGGTACCCCTATAATTCGGATGTTGGAACATTTAAAGATGTCCTGGAGGTTCCTAAGCTTCTCCTCATTTTTCTGAATTCTTATTTCTTCATTTTTTTCTGTTTGATCATTTTTTTCTTCCTTCTGGTCCACTCCCTTGATTTGAGTCCCAATTTCCTTTCCATTACTATTGGTTTCCTTTGTATTACCATTCATTTCAATTAGTTTAGCTTCCATATGTTTCTCTAATTTGTGACTAAAATCAACCAGTTCTGTAAGGATCCTGATAACCAGTGTTTTGAACTGTGCATCTGAAAGACTGGCTATTTCTTCATTGCTTAGATCTATCGGTTCTGGGGCTCTGAGTTGTCCTAGAGCCATTTTTGGTCTATTCGTGCCATTAAGTGAGCGGAGAGAAGCCTTAGTTGTTTACCAGGACGGGGCGACCCAGGTCGCTGGTTTGTGACGCTGTGTGTGGGGGCATGGTCAGAGAGGGAGCAATGGCGGTCCTCTCCGCTAGCCTAGTCCGTCCAGTCACATCACTCGCCCCGGGCCTGTTTATCCTATCAGAATTGTGCAAGCCTGCTGCCCCGCACAGGCTTCCCTTCTCACTGGTTTATCCGCACGCAGATGCGCGACCAACCGACCACAGACAACCCACCGTGCCTCTTCCCTGTGTGCTCCCGTAGCTAGCCTGCGATCAGCGCCTTCGGCTGCTTGCACACCGAGCACCACCCGGGGATTTTTTCTTGCCAACCTGCTCCGTTGCTGGCTTCGCTTCTCTTACCGGTTTAGCTGAGCGTTTAGTTGTCTTTGGACTCCGTATTGTCGATTTTCTGTGTGGCTTGGTTGTGCTTATTGTTGTTAAAATAGTTGTTCTTAGATTTGGTTGTGCACAGAGGCAAGGTGGTTCCACCTACATCTCCGTCTTGGCGGAAGTCCTCCATACAATACTTCTAATCCCTACTTCCATCTGGTAAGAATTTTATAGATAAGATAAGTGAGGCTCAGCAAAATTAAATAACTCACCCCGGTTCCAAAGCCCATGATTTTTTAGAGTAGCCTGCTTCCCCAAGAAGAAAGGTCAATCCCATAAGAAGTTGCTTGCCTTCTAGTCGAGGAAGTGGAGGGCTGGCAACACAGTTAGGAGGGAGACTTTCCACTGTTCACTTTTTGTCATTTTGAATTTTGAACCATGCGAATGTAATACATATTCAAACTAATTCAAATGAAGTTAAAATTAAAAAGAGAACAGTAAATAGACCAGAGAAAGCATATTTTATTCTGTTCTTGGAAGTACATAATTTTATCATTCATCAAGTTCTAATTATATAAATCTTTTTCATGAGTATTCCGTTGGTTTGGAAATTGGTGTCTAGCTGATGAGTGACTCATTATTCCAGATGGTGGCCATTCTTAGTCCACCCTGTCTCCTCTCCTGGGCCTTCGCAGAAATTCGTCAGAACATTCCATTTGCTACATAGAATCCTCAACATCTGAAACACAGTGGGCTATCCATGTTGGAAGTTCAGCCTTCCTACAAGACTTGCTTCTCAGAGGAGGGGTTGAATGTTTCCTCACAGTGGGATTTGCAGGCCACACACATATGGAGATTCCACCTTAGGAACAACTCCAGAAAAGTAAAAGGGAAAAAAACCCCACAACTCTAACTCATATTTATGGTATTAACATCTTCATCTGAGCCAGCTGAACAAATCTTTTCAAGGTCAATCTTCCTAAACCAACGGAAGAATTGACCATTTTACTAAGCACTGAAATGAAGCAAAAACTTTCCAAACTTACCTAGTTTTTGTTGTATTTTTTTGTATTGATACATCGGAATGTTCTCTGAACCGAACCATTCTGTCTCTTTCAAGTCCTACATTAGAAACATAATTCTCTTATAAGCAGTTGGATTATTCATTTATGCCATCAGATAAAGTCTCTAGTTTCAAAAACTAAATGTAGTATTTTTTAAAAGCTATTTACAAGTTATTAATGCTTTTTTTGAGCATGGCCCAACATACAGTAGCTACCTATCAGAGTCTTTTGGAACATGCTGCCCTCGTGGGCTGGTTACATTTGAGCACCTCAGCTGCACTCATCCCTCTGCCTGGGGTGCTCCTCCCCAGCCACCATGCCCTTCTCCTCCTCCTGAGCCCTCCCCATTCCCTTTCATTTGGCTACTTCCTTCTCTCTCAGATGTCATTCAGGATCGCCTCAGACAGGAGCCACCTGCATCATCTAAAATTTTCTGGTAGCCACATTAAAAAGGTTTTTTGAAAAAGTCAGGCAGTGCCTGACCAGTGTGGCTTAGTTGATTAGGTGTCATCCCTCCAAGCAAAAGGTCGCTGTTTCAATTCCCTAGCAGGGCACATGCCTGGGTTGTGAGTTCAGTCCACAGACGGGGTGTGTACAAGAGGCAACGAATCGATGTTTCTCTCTCATCAATGTTTTTCTCCCTTTCTTCTCCCTTCCCCTCTCTCTATAAATAAATAAAATCTTAGGAAAAAAGGTTAGGTTATAAATTAATTTAAAATGTATTACATAGTTTATTCAACCCAACATATCCAGAATTATCAAGATAGTTTATTTATTTTTTTTACGTTTAAACTTTTGAAATTCCATGTGTGTTTTACACTTGCAGCACATCTCGGTCCAGGCATGTGGTTGGACGGCACAGGTCTGGATCTAGTGAAGTCCCTTTGTATGGTCACCAGTGTTTTCACACTTGCAGTTGTTGGTTCACCCGGCTGAATGATGAGTGCATGCATAATAATGCCTGTCTTTTACTCAATAACTTCAGGAGCCTTTAACGATTGTGAAACTCTGGAAAGTTTTCACCATAGTTCAGCCCACATTCAGGACTACCTACATGGCATACCATTACTTCCGAAGCAAGGGCTGGGTGCCCAAAGTAGGACTAAAGTATGGAACAGATTTATGTAAGTAATTCCTAGCTTGGTAAGTATGAGAACCAGGGTTCACATCAGATCCTGGAATGAAAATCAGATTGGTTATATGTGCCGTTACTGATTTTTTCTAAGAGGTTCTTCCTTCTGGCATATATAAGAATATTGAATGTTTGAATTAGGTCTAGAAAGACCTAATTATGTATGTTTAGGAAGAGTGAAAAGATAATCTAGGAGAAAAACCCAGGAGTAGAAGCATGCAGCCTTAAGTCAGGCTTTTCCTCTCATCTGCTCTGTAATCTTAGAAAAGAGTTCTATAGCACACCCCTACTTCCCCCTGCCATTAGCCATGTGATTATGTGATATAGGGCAGTCTCTTGTCTGCTGGGCCTCAATTGCCTCATCTAGGAAATGAGACTAATCATTGGCAACAGTAATTACAGCTATCTTTTATTGAGCATTTACTATATGCCAAGCATCTTGCTGTTTTAGGAATATTCATTATCTCATTTAATTCTTCTAGCAATCCTTTGCATTGGGTACTTATTATCATTTTTCTGAGAGGCAGACTGCAGTTTTGGGAGAATGGGTCATTTGCCCCTAACAGTTTTCATGGCCAGTAACTTACAGAGCTGGACTTCAAATTTTGGAGCCCAGGCTCTTAGAAACTTACACATTTCTTCCTTCACTGATCTTTACTAAATGAAGAGGCCAAGCCAGGTGACCACTTCATTCAACAGAGAATTACTGAGGATCTCCTATGGGCCAGGTCTTTTTAGGGGCCAAGAATACAGGGGTAAACAAGACAAACACAAAACCACCTTGATGGAGCAACTTACTTTATGGTGGCAGAGGGCAAACAAGCAAACAAATACATACATAGTATAATTTCAGGTGTGATAAGTACTGTAAGAAAACAGCAGAGTAAAAGGACAGAGAGTACAGGAAGTTATTACAGGTGGTCAGGAATACCCTCTCTGAAAATAATGTGACCACAGGGAGGTAGCAGGTCACTTGAGAATTTGGGAAAGAATGTATAGGCAACATGAACAGGAAATACAAGGGCCCTGCAGCAGATACAAGCTCAGCGGGTCTCAGGAACAACAGAAGGACAATGTGTCTAGAACTTGGAGATCCAGGGCAAAGCAACATGAGGTGATGTCAGAGCATTAGGCTGGGGCCAGGTCACCTAGAGACTTTGGACGGTATTCTGCTAATTGGATGTCTCGAGATATTTAGAGCAAGAGAGTGATTTAAGTTTAATGACTTAACATAATAGGACCCTCTGTCTCAGGGGTCCCCAACCTCTGGGCCACGGACTGGTACTGGTCCAGGCCTATTAGGAACCGGGCTGCACAGCAGGAAGTGAGCTTAAATGTAATGCCCTTGAATCATCTTGAGACTGGTCCATGGTGCCACAAAGTTTGGGGACCACTGCTCTATCCCCTCTCTTACCAATAGACTGCAGGAGGGCAAAAATGGAAGGAGAGTGGCTAATTAAGGAAGCCAGGCTCAACCAGCCCTGCAGATAGAATGGACATGGGATTTGTGGGTAAGAGAGGAATCAGGGATAATGCCTGAATACTTGGCTTAATGTTTTGGACACTGTAACTGGAGATACTGTGAAGATAGGCAGCTCTGGAGCACAGGGGAGCATGGAGATACAAGTCTGGAGTTGTTGTTGTGTAACCGGCACTCAGAGCAGGGGTCTGGGTAAGTGAGCGTGACCGGCACTAGTGTCTCCCTCAATAAGTGCCCACACTCATTTTCCTCGTCTGCCAAGCGGGGGTGCTTCCTAGATGCTCTTCAGAATTGTTCATGCGGTTGAAACAAAAATTTCAAAATATTTGAGAGGGTTGCCAAGCAGTCATGGCCCTGGAGGTCTTTTGATCTCTGTCATATACTTGTTTCATATGTTTTTGAGCCTTTTTAAATACCCAGAGAAAGCCAGTTCAAATCTTTAAACCTTTTAAAGATTCAAGTGCTCTAAAGTTGAGTGTGCTTAACCTAGACTCATAGGATGGTCTTCAGGGGTCCCTGGCACCCCTTGAAATTGTATTAAAAAATATTGTGTTCGTAGATTGGTGTGTTTTTCTGGGTCAAGAGTCCATAGCATTTTTTAAATTCTCAAAGAGGGTGAGCAATTTGAAATAAATCTTAGGGATCACCCATCTTTCTATGATAAATGGTTTATTTTGTTTCTTCCATGACTGGATTTCAGGTACAGATATCCTAACTCAGAGTTACCACTCCAGTGATCGGGATTGGCTTGAGATTAGTTTGCTAGGTTTCCAGATAAGTGTGTTGGCCCGAGGTCACATTGCTTAAATAAGTGATGTGCCTGTCTCATTTTTCTTCATTGGCTTCCTGCTCCTTTCTCCTTTTCTTGTTCCTGTAAGAATAGCCACTTGGTGTAAATTCTTAGTCTTCTTCAACTTTCTCATCATATGGTGAAATTTGAGTAGAATTTTCCAGTGGACAGGCTACAGTGATGCATTAAGAGGTGGGTTGAGGTGATGGAAAGAGCTTCTTTCTCTGGGAACTCCTTGGGTTCATGGCTGGCTCTGGTTCTTATTTAATCTTTCTATTCCTGTGGGGTGTGTGGTGTGTGTGACCTCAGTCACATTTCCTCATCTCCCTGAGCTTTTGTTTGGTCATCATATCACATGGGTAAAGAATACCTTCTTTATAAAATAACATCTTAATTTTTTTTAATTAGTTGCAGGGGAATGGAGCCTTTGTTGAGTGCCTTCTAAGCATACCTTATCCCATGTATTTTAGTACTCAAGCCATATTTTTGGATGTCAAAAGAACTTTCCTAATTTAAAAATAATCTGCCTTAGCCCTGGCTGGTGTAGCTCAGTGGATTGAGCGCGGGCCTGCGAACCAGAGGATCGTGGTTCGATTCCCAGTCAGGGCACATGCCTGGGTTGTGGCCCAGTTCCCTGCAGGCCAGTTCCCAGCAGGGGATACACTAGAGGCAACCATACATTGATGTTTCTCCCCCGCTCTCCTTCCCCTCTAAAGATAAATAAAATCTTTAAAAAAAATAAAATAATCTGCCTTATAAGGATAAATGAAAGAACAGACAAGCAGACAGATTTTCTAAAAAGAAAAGAAATAAATCAACTGCTGTTTCCCAACTCCCCAGAGGCCTTTGCCACAGTTGGGGCATGTCATGCACTTCGAGCTGCTTTTACAATTACTGTGAAACCAGGTCTGGGGCCAGCAGCCGTGTGAAGGACATCTTCACAGTGCCTGCTGTAGCAACCGCTCACAGGCAGTGCTAGCCTGGACGGGAGGTGCGGCTTCCGAAACTTCACCCCTTCTCCAGGCACAGCTGCTCAGTGCCACTGTGCACCGAGTTTTTTTAACAAGATTATTTTAGTTTGAAAGGCTAGTCATCTAATCACGTGTACCTTAGAACTGCCAACACGGGTTAAGTCCAGGACATCCACTTAACAGCTGTTTCTGCTTACAGAGCTGATGATACATGACAGAGGGCCATTATGAAATTCACATCTTGTCAGGGAAACTCTTCTTTGAACAAATCTTTTTTTTTTTGTATTTTTTTAATTTAACTATATTTTATTGATTATGCTATTACAGTTGTCCCATTCGCCCCTTTACTCCCCTCAGCCCTGCACAACCTTTCCCACCCACATTCCCCTCCTTTAGTTCATGTCCATGTATCATAAATTCTTTAGCTTCTACATTTCCCATACTATTCTTGACCCCCTGTCTATTTTCTACCTACCATCTATGCTACTTATTCTCTGTACCTTTCCCCCCTTTCTCCTCCTTCCACTCCCTCGTTGCTAACCCTCCATGTGATCTCCATTTCTGTGGTTCTGTTCCTGTTCTAGTTGTCTCCGAAGTTTTTGTTTTAGGTGTGGTTGTTAATAACTGTGAGTTTGCTGTCCTTTCACTGTTCATATTTCTTTAACTTCTTTTTCTTAGATAAGTCCCTTTAACATTTCATATAATAAGGGCTTGGTGATGATGAACTCCTTGAATTTGATCTTATCTGAGAAGCACCTTATCTGCCCTTCCATTCTAAATGAAAGTTTTGCTGGATAGAGCAATCTTGGTTGTAGGTCTTTGGTTTTCATGACTTGGAATACCTCTTTCCAGCCCCTTCTTGCCTGTAAGGTCTCTTTTGAGAAATCTGCTGACAGCCTGATGGGGACTCCTTTGTAGGTGACTGTCCCCTTAGCTCTTGCTGCTTCTAGGATTCTCTTGTTCATTTTAATTTTGGCTAATGTAATGATGATGTGCCTTGGTGTGTTCCTTCTTGGGTCCAACTTCTTTGGGACTCTCTGAGCTTCCTGGATTTCCTGGAAGTCTATTTCCTTTGCCAGATTGGGGAAATTCTCCTTTATTATTTGTTCAAATAAGTTTTCCACTGGTGGCTGTGCCTTTCCCCCTTCTGGTACCCCTATAATTCGGATGTTGGAGCGTTTAAAGATGTCCTGGAGGTTCCTAAGACTCTCCTCATTTCTTTGAATTCTTGCTTCCTGACTCTTTTCTGTTTGGCCATTATTTGCTTTCTTCTGGTCCACTCCATTGATTTGAGTCCCAGTTTCCTTTTCATTGCTATTGGTTTCCTGTGCAATTCCATTCATTTCAATTAGTTTCGCCTTCATATATTTGTCTAATTTGTCGGTATAATCAACCAGTTCTGTGAGGATCCTGATCACCAATGTTTTAAACTGTGCGTCTGAGAGTTTTGCTATTTCTTCATCGCTTAGATCTATGGGCTGTGGGGCTTTGAGATCTTGCGACATTTTTGGTCTGTTCTGGCCCTTTAAGTGTGAGAAGCGGTGCCTTAGACTCTCAGGTCACTGGGTTGTGACGCTGTATGTGGGGGCGTGGTCAGAGCGGGGAAATGGCGGCGCCTTCCACTGCCGCTTGCCGCGGGGATCCGCCCGGCCCTGGTCCAACTGCCCACTCCCTCGCCTGTCCACTCACGCACAAATAGGCGACCACAGTCAACACGCAGCACCACTTCCCCGCCGTCTCCTCCGCGGTCGCTCGCCTGGTGGCTCGCTCGGTCGCTCACTAGGTCCAACCCTACGCCTGGATTCCGCACATCTGGATTCCCTGCCTGAGTCCGTCTGACCGAGACCTCCCGTGCAACCCCTCACCAGCCGCTGGTTTTGCCCCTTACCGGTCAGGCTGAAGAATTTGTTGTTAACGGACTTCCGAAAAGTTCAATTTTCCATGTTCTGGCTGTGTTTTCTGTTGCTAATATTTAGTTGTCTCTAAACTTGGTTGTGTGAGAAGGCAGGGCACATCCACCTATGCCTCCATCTTGGCGGAAGTCTTCTTTGAACAAATCTTGTCAATCAAATTTCATTCCAGGAGCAGTATTTGGAACAAGTAATAGGGATCTCAAGTGCACTTAGTAGCCATCTCAGTTATCAGATCGACTATTGGGGTATCGTAGTGCTTGTGTTGAGTAACCCTTACCTTAATAATGGCACAAAGCCATTCACATAACTTCCATTACAGTATATTGTTATAATTACTCTACTTAATTATTAGTTGTTAATCTCTTACTGTGCCTAGCTTATAAATTAAACTTTTATATAGCTGTGTATGTATAAGAAAAAAACATACAAAGGGGTTTGGTATACTATTAACAGTTTCAGGCATCCACTGGGCATCTTGGAACATATCCTTCGTGCGTGAGGCGGGGACCTATGGCAGTGGGGCAAACTGATCTCTAAGCGGCATGTGTGGTTATGGGATTTTTTCCCCCCACTTGACTTTGTATTGCTTAAAAAAAAGCATGAGCGTTGCTCATCTCTGACATCAACACCTAAGTTGGTTCCTGGCCAGATTAGCCCAGACACTTTGAATTACATTGATTTTACATGCATAACAAATTGTCAAACTTCGCATTCTTGGTATATTTTCAAGTTCTTATTCTAGAGAGTATAAGATAAGAGGCAAGAGGAGATTCACTTGTATTTGGTTTTGGAATTCATAAGTGGAGTGGGGGATGGGAGGAGGGTGTTAGGATCTTGGTGACAGATTTGCTTTACTAATTGCATTTTATGCCTGGGGGAAAAACAGTTTGGGTTTTAAAAATAGACTACTGGGCAGATGGCAGATTTCCCACACACAGATAATTGGGTGTTTATGTCTCTGTGGAGAAGAAAAGACTTAAGTAATAAAATAAGATTCTGGTTTCTGGAGGTTATACACTTTCTTTCTTTTTCCTTGCAGTGCTCTATCAAAAAGGACCTCCGTTTTACCATGCAAGGTTCGCAGTGAGTTTTAAAGAAGTTGATGGCTTAAAGGGACGTGATATTTCTGGCCTCCACTTTAATTTTCAGTGCCACAGAAACAATTAGTCATGTTCCTGATGAGGATAAATACTATACGTTCATGCCTGAAACATCAACATTGTTATACTGTATATAAAATAATAAATAGGTTATGATACTATGTCTTTTTGTATTACACATTGAGTTAACCTATATAGTAATTGTTCATCTTAATATCAGTGAGTATTAGTATCTAAACAGTTGAGTGAATTCTCAGCTTTCATATTGGGAGAAATATTTCTGTTCCTTTCCTATAGGTGTTGAAATCAGTCCAAAATTTTATAACATAAAGTGTGAGTTTTTAATTAATATTTTCTCAGCACAGTCTAGGGGAATTTAGGATCAGATGATGTATATTTTATCTTTTTCTGTAGCTTTGTTCTTTGTAGGACAAACAGTACTCTTTTTAAACATTGATTCCATGATTTTTATTTTTAAAACATCCTTTGTATGTTTTTCAGTTACTCTGTCATTATTGAGTTAGTGGATGACCATTTCGAGGGCCATCTTCGCAGACCTTTCAGTTGGAAGTCGCTGGCTACCTTAAGCAGAGTTTCAGTGAATGTCTCCAAGGTAACATCAGCTCTGGCATTACCTGTAATGTAAATGGTTGGATTTTTCCCCTTAAATGTAGTAGAAATAGAAAAGTCATTTGTAGAAACTTCAAAGTGTTCCTACCATTAAAGTTCTGGAAGATTGGGCCAGAACCTATCCTCCTGTCATATCCCCTCCCACCACCAGCTGGTTTTAAGCTCCAGGAATTGAGCTTCCAGGTTCCCCGTAGTGATTGGTGTGAGTGGGCATTGCCTTCCTTCTCTGGGATGCCCTTGGTCAGCACAGCCAGCACACGCTCCACTTTCACCCACACATTCACAGAGGAGTCCAAACACTGACACATTTCTTTTCAAAATTCATAGATTTCTTGAAAAGGCAGGAAGGAAATTAATATATATTGCTAAACACTTTACATGTCTTCTCACCATCTGTTTATGATCCTCATCCTAAGAGTGAGGAACTAGAGTCAGAGGTGTTGTGAGCGAGCACCCCATGATCATGCAGCTCATATGCAGAACTGGGATTCAAACCCAGAGCCAGCTGACTCCTGGCTGTGTTCTGTTTCCTGCTGCCCTTAAGGTAAGAGGGAAGTCACCAGGACTGTAAAGGATGAGAGCCTTGTGTATTCTCTGTGACTCAGTAATTTGCTACCTAAAACAAACTGTGGCCCCCACCTACTCTGTCCCACGCTGTTGGAGGTGTGGTGGGAGCCGAGACTGTCTTGCGTGCGGGTTAAGTTGCTTAGGCTTTGGCCTGTAAAAAGTAGCTTTGTCCTGTGGTAATAGGGAGTCTCTACTGTATCTAGTGTTTTTATGTCCACTTTTTGAGACTTAGAGTATACATTTAATATTTTAAATTGTATGTTTTATAATCAGTATATCTACTTTATTTGCATTCTCTTGACATGTCAAGAGTGACGAACTGGCTGGCCCTTAGTGGCAATGCCCCCAGGAGGACACTAATGTGCTTTGCAATGCTTGCAGGAGCACTCCGTGAGAGGCCTGGAGACAGCCTGCATGTCCTGCCCAGGCACTCAAACTTGTACCATTATTTTGTGGGATATGGAGGTTGTTTTTCATTTCTCAATAGGAACTCATGCTGTGCTATTTGATTAAACCCTCTGCCATGACTGACAAAGAGATGGAGTCACCAGAATGTATGAAAAGGATTAAAGTTCAGGTGTGTAAACTCAGAGATAATTCATGTCATCCCCAAGATTCTATTCCTTGTACTGTGTCTTCTTGAACATGTGCTCCCAAGAAAACAAATGAAACCCATCTTGCCTTGGCCTTCTCAGGCCCTTCCCTGCTAAACCCACTCTTACTTCCCCTTAAGTCCTGCTACTTCCTTACCTGGAATGTGATCTGGTTTCTCTCCTCATCAGTCAGCTGAAACTGCTCTCCCAGATGGCCTGGGACCTCCTGGCCAAGCCAGGACCTCTCTTGAGTCTCATTTGCAGAGACTAGAAGTGTTGCCGTTGACTCATTCCTTCTTGAACTCCTTGTCTGACTTCTGGGGTTCTGTGTTGAACTGAGTTTCCCCTTGTTTTCATGGCAGGCTTTTCTCTGCCAGGGATGCCAGGTTCATTGTCTCGCTCGTCACCCAGTTTTAATAGTTCCATCCCTCACCCTGTCATTGACCCCACCCTCACATCCAGCACCTCATTGTTTTTCTCTAACATTGCACCCTTCTTCTTGGTCTCACTTCCCCATCCCTCTGCAGAACTACTTGAGGGCTACAGTGCCTCATCCCCTCCATTTGTCCTGCCATCCCCACTAGGTCAGCTTTTCATAAAATGCCCATCCGTGTCTACTTCTCCCTTCTCATGCTGACCTGGCTATGGCAGTATCATCATAGACTTAGTTCTGATGTTGAAGATGCACTTTTGTGCTGGTACTCCTAACCCCGGAAAGTGCTAGTGGAATACCTCAGCTGAGGCAAGCTTAGCTTTTAAAGTCTTTGCATGGTTATGGTGGATGCTCTTTGCATGTAAGGTTTATATTGCTACAGTCACATTTTCACCAAATGTTCAGTAACGAGGCATGGGAACAGGTATTCTTATATAGACAGCTTTTTGTGAAATGCAGCAGTGATGTCACTTGCCTAGCACGTTCTTTCATTTGTTTCTGAAATTCAGTCGTCTTTTTTGTTTTGATTGGTTACAGGAGGTGATTCTGAGCCGTTGGGTTTCTTCACGAGAGAGGAGTGACCAGGACGAACTTTAAAAATTCCACCTCATATCTCTGTTTCCACCAACAAATATTTATTGAGTCTCCTACAATCATCCAAGTTCAGGGTGAGGTAAAGAGTCCTTTTATTTTAATTGGCCGTTAATTTAAAAGTTTTAAAGGGCATGGTGCTCCCAGAACCAGAAAACTGTTAGTGTTTGAAAAGATAAAATTACACAGGAGAGAAAAACAGCCCTGGGTTGGGACTTCAGATTCTGTCCTTGAGTCGGCACTGACTGTGACTGGCCTGGAGCTCCTGGCCTCTGGGCCTCACTCTGTCCTCATCTGTTCCATGAGGACATTGAGTAGATGAGTCACAGGAAGACTCATCCAGTGACAGGGAAGTTCTGTGTTACTCTGATTTTACCTGAAAACGGTGCTAGTTTACATGGATGTGGCACTCTACAGTTTTCAAAGCAGCACTTTTATACACAGGCATCTCTCGTTACCCACGCCCAGCTGGCTCCTAAAAGAGTGCCAGAAGCAGCTTTGGGGACTGCTGGACCCTGTGTCCCTGTATTGTAAATGGAAAACAACACGTCTCTGCTTGTTCAAGAACTCCAACCAATTACTCAAGAACATAAAAATCCATTTAATGTTTAACAAGAATTTCTGAATCATAGAAAGCATTTAAAACAATCACCTAATTATTTGTCATTGAGCTAAGTGGTAGGCATGTTGGTGTAGAATATACAATATTATGCAGTATTAGATAAAAATTGCATCTTGCTTCAGTGTACTTGTTATGAAGTAAAAATAGGTGGTGAAATAATGTACAAAGATACATAATGAGTGCAGTTAATATTTAGGAAACACAATAAACAAAGCCTTTTCTTAACTGATTAGATTCCAGTGAAGTGTTGCCTGAGGCCTGGTATTTGGAGGCAAAAAGAAGGAAATGGACAGAGGGTGTGGGGGTGAGGTGAGCAAGCGAAAGGGAGCCAGAGTAGGAGTGAGGGGACACACGTCTGAGACTCATCCACTGTCCGAATTCAAGACACTGGCAGACAGTCTTCCTGGCACGAAGTATTCCAGAAGTAGGTGGTTAAGATTCATCTTTGGAAGCTGAGATGAAATAGAAACAACAAAAAATAAATGGGTACTCGTTCGCGCTTCTTTGCATGATCTTAGAGCTCCTGATAGTCTAAGAATCTCTTATAGTCGTGTTTTGCTGCGGTGCTTCTGTTCACATCATAATCCTGTGCTCTCCCAACAAAATCATTATGTCTGCATGCTTTACATTTTAACAATTTGGCATGCAAATAAACGGAGCTCCCCTTCCTCCCCTGCCTCAGACCAAAAATGGCCGTCCATTTGAAAGAGCCTCTTAGTAAGTTCTTTGCTTTTCATTAGTGATGCTAATAGTTCTTCAACATTTTTACTGTTCACTTTGCTTCAGACTCCTTAGCAAAGTAAAAGACTTCACTTTGAATCATCACTTTCTCAAAACTTTTGATGTCGATCTTCCTTATTTCATCGATCATTTACAGTGACACTTCCTTGCAAGCCTAATCAATGTATCAGATACCTTTATGGTCAAAACTCTTCCATGAATCCTTCATCAAAGTGTGATCCTTCTATCAACACTCCACCCCAGATGCTTTAACATCAGCTATTATGTGTCAAAGCTTTTTTTTTTATTGTAAAGGCTACAGTAAAGATGTAGAGAAGCCAAAAGACCACATAGATACATGTAACTGAAGGCTCTAGAAGACTCTCCAAAGCATCATCTTTAGTCAAAGAAGCCTTGTATGAAGGATTTTCCTTCATTATGTATAAGATTTGAACACCGAGTAGCAGGCCATGCACTCTTCAGTGGTAATAGGCCACTTCCAAACCGCACAGGCATCAGTCATCTAAGCAGCGCGTGCTGTGTCCTCTCTCTGGTCCTGACTCTCACAACTCGAATGATTTTTGTGCTGCAGACTCTTACATATCCATAACTTTTCATTTGGATAAACTTTTAATATGGGGTAACATTTTTTTTGTACCTTAAGGCCCTGGGGCTTCTGGAATGATGCACCAGCAAACATTCTGGTTTGCCAGCTCAAAGCAGTGTTAGCTTACTTTCGAAAGTATTAAGTCTGCTAGCACTTTTCTCTTACCTTCTGAAACAAATGTTCCAGATGGCATTTGTTTTCAAAATAAAGCTCAGATTCACCAAGACTAGGAATTTACTTTGCGATAAAACCTACAGGAGACCCTGCTGTTCACTGGAGAGATGCGGTAGCCTCACTGAGGCTGGAAGTTGCTTCACCTGCACCCTCAAAGCATCGGGCTTACGTGGTTCTTAAACCTCTTGACCCTTCCAGATTTGCTTTAAAGCTGAAATCCACCAAATCCTCTCTCTCCTCATTACTTCCAGTTCTCCCAGGGCATTCAAAGCCACCCACTGTGCCAGCATGTGTTCAAGTGGCATCGGGCTGACTGGCCCCACAAGAATTTCACTAAAAATAGCACATCCTGGTCAAGAGCACCAACATTTTTCACAAGTTATATTTTGTCAACCTAGTGCAAGAAAAATACAAAAAGAGGCAGACACCTGCTTGGCCAATATTATATCCCTTACATCCGGGGTTCCCAACCACCCTCCTCCTGGTCCGTGGCTACTGGCATTACCACTCGAGCTCCGCCTCCTGTTTTCTCATGCCCGTCCTCACCTCCCCCACCCCCATTCCCAGTCCATAGAAAAATTGTCTTCCCCAAACCTGGTCCCTGGTGCCAAAAAGGTTGGGGACCACTGCCTTATATGATCACTTTTTTCAGTACACTATCACTTCCAACTGTTTTTTCTAATGCAGAGGTATTTCCTAGGCCTCTAAAACTCACCTACTTTCTCCACAGGCTTTTCCATTTCATAGGAGACATTGTTACTTAATAAAGTCAGGAAGATGATGTGGTAATAGGCCACTTCCAAACCGCACAGGCATCAGTCATCTAAGCAGCGTGTGCTGTGTCCTCTCTCTGGTCCTGACTCTCACAACTCGAATGATTTTTGTGTTGCAGACTCTTACATATCCATAACTTTTCATTTGGATAAACTTTTAATATGGGGTAACATTTTTTTGCACACAGTTATAGTAAATACTAAGGTAGTGGGAGTTGAGGTAGGGCAGACACCATCTTCATTCTTACTCCACAGCAGCGTTTTGAGTTAGGTGCTGAGACCTTCCCCAGGAGGAAGGTCTGAGGCTCAGAGACATGGCTGCTGTCACAAGTGCAGTCAGATGACTCGACCTGGGAGCTCCTCCATTCAGCACCTTTACACAGTCTCCACTACTAAAGTGACACCAGCCAGGAGAACCATGTGAAGTCAGAAATACAGCCCCGTTAGGGCTTGACCGGGTAGAAGTTAAAGAGGAAGGCTGCCCTCCACCGCAAACAGGGCTGCATATGTGCTGGCATGCTCGGGTGGCATATATGCAGGGCTGCTTGGGTGCTGGCACCCAAGGGTTGGGCTGGAGCATGAGACTCCTCTCCCCAGGAGCCTGCTGTGCACATCATTTTGTGTACATCTTCAGGAGGTTCACAGATTCCATGAGGACCATCTGTGGATCCAAGGTTAAGAATCTTGAGCAATACATGGTTCTTAGGTTTTAATTATTTTCGCCAGAGATCATTTTATTGGAAGTTAGGTAGCAGAATGAGCCTTCTAGAAAAGACCCATTTAGATCTCATCTCTGCTGCTCAGTGGTTATGTGACCTTGAGCAACTTACCATGTCCTTTATGAACCTCAATTTTTTAACCTCTAAAATGGGGCCAGTGATAATACTGAATTCATTTCAGTTATGTCGATAAAGGAATACTCAAAAAAACGCCCAATGCAAGGGGTTTCCCCTCCCTTCCTGGAAGGAGTGACTCAAACCCACCAAATTGGTAAGAGACCAAGAAGGCCCAGTGCCTCTCTATTCAAAGCTAAATCTGGGTTGAGAGCTGAGGGGTGTTTATGGAAATTACGCTTATCTGGTAAAAAAAAAAAACGCAAACACTGTTTATGCACAGGAAGTACAGAGGTGCCAGGACTTTGTACAGGGTCCTCGGTGTGCCAAGGGGCTATTTTGTCCTCAGAGTGAGTTCAATTTCCTTTAGCCTATCTTCTGAAGAATGTGTGGCCAGAATCAGGCAGCCACCATTGGACATGCTGGACCAGCCCAGGGACCAGGGGGCACCCACCTGTGGTTCTGTAACCACAGACCTGCCCTGCCCTTAAGACACCACCTCAGGTTAGAGTCCATCCCTTACAGTTTTCAGGTTTCTTGAACTATTTGTCAGACTCTGGTTTTGGTATTAAGTTTCAGCAATTCCCTTGGTCTTTCTTACTGGCCTGGGGGGCAAGATGGCTGAATTCCTTGGTCTGGAGTCAGACCCAGGTTTGCATCCCAACTCATCCACTAACTAGCTATGCGATCTTCACCTCTGTTTCCCTCATCTATAAAATGAAGGCAATGTCATCAATGTACACATACAATGGAGTGCTATTCAGTCCCCCCACACACAAATGAAGTACATGCTACAGCGTGGATGAATCTCGAAAACCCACCAAGTGAGAGAAGCCAGACACAAAATGTTGCATATTGTTTGACTCCAATTACACACCCCAAGTGGGTAAATCATAGAGAACACAGGGGTGGTGACCAGGACAGTGGGGAGGGAGGACTGAGGAGCAACTGCTCAGTGGGTAGAGTGACCTTGCAGGATAATGAAAGGTTTTTGAGCTCAGCAGAGGTGGTTGCGCAACATTGTACTAAATGCCACTGAGTTTTTTGCTTTAAAATAGATTTATGTAACATGAATCTCACCTCAATGAAGAAATAAAAACAATAATGTTATCAACCACAGAGGGTTGCTAGAGGATTGTGTGGGTTGGGCCTTACACGTTTCTTAGCACAGTGCCCGCCTCATAATGTGCTTTCAGCCATTTGCTGCTCTGATGACTCACTGTGGGGGAGGAGGAAGCACTTGCACCTTAAGACTCGCAGTTAGCTGTCAGCTATTAAGGCAGTTTCTTGTGTAGTTGATTATTGAATGATGGGTGCTGAGACCTTCCCCAGGAGGAAGGTCTGAGGCTCAGAGACATGGCTGCTGTCACAAGTGCAGTCAGATGACTCGACCTGGGAGCTCCTCCATTCAGCACCTTTACACAGTCTCCACTACTAAAGTGACACCAGCCAGGAGAACCATGTGAAGTCAGAAATACAGCCCCGTTAGGGCTTGACCGGGTAGAAGTTAAAGAGGAAGGCTGCCCTCCACCGCAAACAGGGCTGCATATGTGCTGGCATGCTCGGGTGGCATATGTGCAGGGCTGCTTGGGTGCTGGCACCCAAGGATTGGGCTGGAGCATGAGACTCTTAGCCTCGGTTTGAGAGGCTAACGTTTCGGGCCTCATCCCTCAACTGCGAGGGAAATGGTGACATCTCTGCCTTTGCTGCTGGAGTCCTCTCGTAAATAGATTCACTGCTGTAAAGTAATTGGCTTATTATGCGCATTACCTGGCTGAGATTAAACCGATGTGAGTAGGCAGGTTTACCCTGCTGGAGTGTTTGAGAATCGTGCACTGGTCTGAAAATTTCCTGTTATGTACTGATTAGTTTTTATTTTGTTTTATAGTTATTTTGCCTTTATTGTTTGAAACATTTTCATTTTCTCTCTCCTTTTAAAAACGGCTTTTACCATAATGAGGTTTTTTAACGTAGTTTTCTCCTTGTGGGGGAGTGATGGGGTTACAAGGAAATGAAATGTTTCTCCTCCTCACTGCCCACCTTCCATTTATGATTTTACTAAATTGAATTTTTAGAAATCTCATTACAGACTCAATTATCCCATGAATGTTAACTTCCTTAAAACTGTTACTGAACCCCATTTCTAAAACTGATTGAGAGATATTTAAACTCATCAATTTATCTTAAATCTTTGCTTTTTACATATATAATACTGAAAAAATTTTAAGTCTTGTTACATTTTGTGAAATATAGGGATGTCGCACTTACGAATATGAAAAAGCACATTTGTGCCCTGGCTGGTGTGGTTCAGTGAATTAAGCACTGACCTGCAAACCAAAAGGTTGCCAGTTTGATTCCCAGTCAGGATACATCCCTGGGTTGTGGGCCAGGTCCCTGGTGGGGGG